TTACAGGTTCGAGCCTGCCTTTCACCTGGGAGTGAGAGTGAAAGAAGTGATCAAACATTTCAGAAAAACTACCGGAAGGATGATGGCATAGTCAGTCATGTTCATACAACTATTTCTGATACACTCAACAATCACTAGAAATATCCTAAATGATCTGCAATTTTCTTTTTGGATGAGTAATTGATTCATACAAAAAAAGGGAAAATTATGATGAAAGTGAAAAGAATTCAATATTTAAAAACGATGAAACTTTCAATAACGAAAACATTGGAATCACCATTATTCAAACAATAAGAAACAAAAAATTCTCAAAAATTTTCACATAAAATGAAGCAATATTTCGCCAAACATAACATTTCACTTCTCTCTTATCTATTCAAGGTCAATCCTATGTAGCATTATGTCTTTCTCTTATCCATGAAAACTCTAAAAATAAACCCCAAAAGGAATGGAAAATTAAAAAAGCCTTTCATTTTTCTTCCAAAAAAATCTCATTACAGTTGCTGAAACTCATTTGTTATAACCGAATTATTCCACTTATGTCCCCAGTGAAAACAATAAGCCTTAAATTAAACTGTACAGATCGACAATCATTCCTTATCATTTAGCACCTTAATATGGAACTAATGTGTTAACAGTATATCGGCTCTTAAAAATTCCTTTGCAAGCTTCAAAGCTAAAAGTATACTCGTTGTATTATAAAATATATACGAACACTCGCTCATACGACATTTATCACTATATTTTGTACGCACTAAAATATTGATATTTCCTCTTTCCCCTTTACGATTAAAAAAATTCACTCTATTGGTATCTGTCTCCATCTCCTTCACTTCCTAAGCAGAGATCGAATGAAAAGGGGAAAAAACAAAGTCTCTTGCTGCCTCAGTGCTAAAAGCAGTATATTTACATACTGCTCAGGCATTCTACATCTATTCCTTCCAATTTTCGACTAAAAAAAATTGCTCAAATAGCTGCAATTTAATTAAAATGTAATCATTTCATTTTACTTAATTACGCTTCTAAAGACATCATATGGTATAACGGTGTGCGATTAAATGTAAAATGTATAGCTCATTTTGTGAATTCTCTTACCATCTATTTTTAATTTATCTTAGCCTACTAATATTGCATTATTGCATTGTAAAGATAAGTGAATAAATCTATTGATGAAACTAATAAGGGAAATAATTAAATTAGCTGGAGGAATGTGCTAAAGCTAAAAAGATAAGTGATTCGTTGCAAATGCAAAGGATTATTAAAACAGGTATCGCGAAATTTCCATCTTTTCTGTTTAAAAATATATAGTAAGCATGATCTTCATCTACCAAACAAATATTTGAAACTCGAGAATGATGAAATTACTTCGATGCGAGAAAATAAACAAGAATACTACGGTATTGAGGTAGGGAAAGGAAGCTGAAGCTGTTGTTGGAATGAAATAAAATTAAATTGTGTCCCCGCTACATCAGACAACATCGATCGAAGGATATTGTGCTGTTGGGGCGGTTGCTGGCATGGCTGTTGATGATGACTGAGAGACGTTAGTAATAAGGCTGCCGAAGTTGTTGTTGCCGCTGCAACCACCATTATTACTACTAATAGTACTACTATAACTGTTGTTATTGAGGGGGAAGAGGAAAAAAGTGGAATGATAAGCGAAAAATGGCGAAGAAATGAATCAGAGTTCGTTAAACCCGACATATCATCAAGAAAAAGACGAATGAACAGAATGGGTTGTAATACTGATTGAGAGTGCTATTTCTTTTGATCCGAGAAGTGCCGTGGCATCGCAAATTATATCGAAATTGCTTGTTGTTTACACATGTGACGTGAGGAGACAGTTTTATCGATTGTACATAACAAGGAATTGAAGAGGTTATTTATCAGGCTGACTGAGCACGCCGTATTACTGGTTTGCTTCAGTGAGAAAACGAGTGAAATGTTTGATGCTGAGACAAAATTCTAAATTGCAGTATTTAAAGAAATAATTTGAGAACAAAGTGCTTCCACACTCTTTTTCCATTATTTGTGTATTGACAATCCTAATGCTTCTCAATGCTTTGAACAGAAAAAAGCAGATTACGGTTATTCCGCAATTGATGTGGACATTTCCCAATGCCACCATTATCAGTATACAATAATATAATCTATTGTAAGAACATGAGCCAAACAAAATAAGCAAAAAAAAAATGAAAAATAGCTTAAATAAGTTTGGGAGAGTAATTTGAGAGGTCAATCCCACTTACAAATCTCAACTGAAATGGGTGTTTCTTCATAGCCAGTATCTAGCTACGCAGGCAGAAAAAAATTGAAAAAGTACCAGTTTGACTCTAATTTAAACATTGTCAGACTTAGTTTCAAATTTTAAACTCAATACAATATGTTTAAATGCTTCAAGCAGCTCCAGTTATCGACGCTACAATATCTTCATTTAGCCTGAAATGATGATGCATCTCTGATCGATAATCATCGTGATCCTGGTATTATCCCCTAACAGAAGTCCTAACAGAAGGTCTTCTTTCTTTCGTGCATTCATTATCTGATAGCAAGTATCATTTGATCGAATTGGCTATTATCATAATGATTTCGACTTGTGCTGCTGAGATGCTAATCCATGCTTTGACTTCAACACCCTTATGGCCTACTATTATTTTTAGCGCTTTGCTGTTGTATTTACATATGCCTTTCTTTTTCTCTATTTAGAACACTTCTTAAAATACGATTACGTATTCGCGCAACACAGAATTTTCATAGGCCTCTCTATATACTATCAGTGACCCCGTAAAATGATGCACTTCAGATATAAACATGAGAGGAGCAACGTCAACCTGATAAACTACACTCAAACTATACTTACGACTCGATGTTTCGAATAAATTGAATAAAATCATCATTGGACATCATTATGACAATCCGAGTATTGAAAAATAGAAATCTTCAGCCAAGCATCTCAGATAAATTCAGACTGAAAACCTCTTTGGGAATGATATGTCTAAACGATGTCAAAGTATGACGAATCATATTTGAAGGAAAAGTAATCAAATTGGAGAAACACTATGATATGCAGTACAAAAAAAAACGAATATAATGGGATCTAGAAGAATCGTTTCGACTGATGGCGGTGGATAGAAATGAAGTTTCATTAGGATAAGGGTAAAATTAAAAAGTCGAAAATATGATGTCTGTGCAATCAAGCCCATAAATATTGTCACAGAACATTTCGATGTTCAATGTATCTTTCGATAAGTTGTAAAGATCGTTCGGATTTCGTCGGAAATGGAATATGAAGATAGATCAGCATACGTGACAACATACGTGACCAAGCCATGAAATACACCAAAGGGTATAAGAAAGCAGAGGTGAACTGAGATTAATTTTTGGGAAAACATCATAAAACATCTATGTGAATTGAGATTAATTTTTGGGAAAACATCATAAAACATTTCAATAAACGTATTACAATATTTTTGAAAGTAGTCAACGATCAACGTAATCAATTGAAATTTAGAGTTTTTAAAAACGAAATGAAACTTGACAATATAAAAGAAGTACGTTGATGAAAAGTGCAATTTCTTAAATATTTCAACAAGACACTTCAAACAGTGGAAAGGTAAGAATGAGAAGAGAGCTATTGTGTTCCAATTGCGACAGTGAAAAAAATTAGAAACAAAAAATGAATTGTACTGTATCTCAAACATAACTATTTTACATAGTAGCTCAAACATAAAAACTTTTGAACTCCAAAATACATCAATCATCCTGCTAACTTCGCCTCTATCAATCGTTACCTTAATTTTAACTTCAAAAAACAAAGAAGTTCATAGAATATGACTCGAAGTACAATATCTGAACAAATTCTTCAGGCATTATTAATGATCAGAATCATTGTCACACCGGTGTGTGACAGCGCTTCCTCCTTTTCTTCTCCCAAATTCAGATTGAATTTTAATCAATATATTCAAAACACCTTAAAAACCTTGCATCTAAGAGCAGTTCCTCTTTCCTCAACGCAGTAAGAGGAAAAACACACACCGTACTATAAATGAGACGACAACAAATGAAAGAAAGAATCTTCTAAAAGCTATTCATGCTCTATTCATCCTCCCTCCTCCTCCTTCAGCCTCTTATATCAGTTTCACTCTCTTTCATTATATGACACAATTTTCAAACATAAATAACAACGATTGCTCATTATAAAAACGATATAAATTTGACAAGGGAAAAATGTGCTGGTAGAGTAGGTGCTAACCCAAATGCTAACAAATGCAAAAAGTTGGAAATGCTTATTTGAATGCTTCATATACGATATTTTTTTGTGAGAGCGCTTCAAATAAATAATACATTGAGAACGAATTGTTGAAGAAAGATTTTGAAGGATTCAATTTTTGATTGGCCATTTTCAATTAATTCGTTGCATTTTTTCAATCTACAATTACGATATTTTTGGATACTTCATCTGAAATGCTCCAGAAGCCTCCGAACTTATTTAAAGTTTGAATAGATGGACGTTGGTTCTGAAAAATTAAAAAAAATAAGCGAAGGCAAAAAGTCTGCGCGATAAATTACTTTAAGATTTACCTTAATTTTAACTTCAAAAACAAAAGAAGTTCACGGAGTCCGAACTGTTTTAAGACTAGTGATAGGTTAGTATATGGGATCTCTCTCTCACAGGCCAAACAGCGAATCAAACGTAATGCCACTGCGATAAGAAATATTATATAACACTCGGCATTTTGACTTATCCTATCCAATCCCAGATATTGGCAGTCGATTGGCAATAAACGATCCATTGGACCCAATTTCTTTCTAAATTTCACAATTAGTTGCATGCAACGAATAGGAGGTACGGGTAAGGGACAAAAGTGGGACTTCATATTTGCTTGATCGGAGGTTTTGTGGGTCTTATATGAGAGGTGGCATCATTTGTTGAAACCTAAAAGAAGGAAAACTGAGGCTTTCAATATTAAAAGTATCCATGAGTTGCAGCTGTGAAAACAATGGCAGATGTAGAGGAAACTCTGAAGAGAATTCAGAGCCAAAAGAACGTTGCTGGGGTTATTGTTATGGACTCATCTGGTAAAACTTATATGTTCCTTTTCATTGTTGTACTCTTTCTTTTCCCACTACACCATTACTTCATGGCGTTAACTTTTTATTATTTCGTAGGTCGAGCGATTCGGTCAACACTGGATGATGAAGCTACACAGCAGCATTGCGTATTGCTGCATCAATTGTGCGATAAATCAAAAAGTGTTATTCGTGAATTGGATGGCTCAAACGACCTCACATTCCTAAGGTTACGGACGAGAAAACATGAAATAATGATCGCACCTGATAAAGACTTCTTGTTGGCTGTGATACAGAACATTACTGCACAGTTTTAACTGTATAATTTATTGCAATTTTTGATTTTATGTTTATATCTGATGATAAGTATAACTTATTATGTGAAATGATTCACATATTAGAGTAATGCTAGTTTTTGTAAGTACATTTATATAAGGCGGAAGAGAATATGGAATTGAGAAGACTTATGAAGAAATAAGATAAACTATGTAGGAATTGAGAGAGATGAGTACAGAGCGATGTTTATTGCTGCTTTGAGTGCATTCGAAAAAATGAGCTAAATTTGATTTTCTTCATTGTACGGTCTGATAAAATCATAATTTTCATCTTTTTGTTTGAAGAATTCTTAGGAAGTTCCACCATGATTTTGTCATGATTTTTAAATATATGCTTTTGATAGTCGTGCTGCTGTTATTTGTCGATGTTGGTGATGTGAATGGTTATAAGGTCCTATATTTCCCTCATTATTGATATTAGTTTTTTTTTTTCCATTAAATTCTTACTTTTATATTTTAGACATACTAATCCTCCATCTATAAACTAGTGGGAGAGAAAATTCCTACTAAATGAATGTCCTTAACTTTCGACATAGTGATGTTTTGAAGCGAATGCAATGTCCCATTTCCAGGTGTGCAGCATGCCTAGTTTCTTCGATGTACTTGGATTAGGCTCACAGGAAGGATCTTCAAGAAATGTCTTACAAACATCCACCACTAATCTGACACCTGGTAAGCTATAATGCTTGGATTTGTTAATTACATTGGTCATTGTGGATTTTTATTTCACAGGATAGGCATCGAATAATCGATATGTAACTACACCATGCAGTCTTTAGAGTTTTATGAATTCATGCTGTAACATGTTTCGGAAGTCTTCTGGAAGTTCACAGTGTATATACACGACTTATTAAGAGTGATTATAAGGGAATGTAATGTTCTTCTGGTCAATAGCATTTTGCATTTGTTTCGAGTACTTCACAAATCTTTGAAGTGCATAAGCAATTTAAGTGAAAAGGTAACCGAGTTGATTAAAGTTTCAAATGAAGTGTCCAAGTTAAATTTATTTGAGGTCCCAATGACAATGCCTCGAAAGGAAACAGTACGCAGGCACAAACACAAATGCAGAGAGGATATTCGTTTGATTCTTCAGCGTTGGAACGTGCAGCTGATGCTGCACGACAGCTAGAAATGTCTCGAAATGCTAAGGAAGCATTTGAAATTGCACGATTGCAAGAAATCACGAAACAGAAGGAATATGAGGCTGCTGCTAAGGTATATTTAATAAGTAGTAGTTTGAAAAGTTCACGTAGGAAACGATGTATTTGAATTTAAATCCATTAATATAATATTCCATAAGCAATATAGCAAATATTATCTGTAAATGGCCAACTTTATACGCTGGAAAAATACGACTAAACTGTATTGATTTGAATGTCTTAAGTCTAGAATTTTATTTCTGTCCCCTAAATCCTTTACTGATTTTTGATTATTGCAGCAAGCAGAAGCACAGGTACAAGCACTTCGGTCAGAACAAATACGAGTTGCGGAAGAAGAAAAACGTAAAACTTTAGTTGAAGAAACAAGACACGCACGTGCTGTGAGTGAACAAAAATTTGGAAAATCATTTTTTTTTATGATTTGGAATATCATTTTTTTAATGATTTGGAATATCATTTTTGATATAATTTCGCAATAATTTTTGTGGAGTGGAAAACTTTAGAGGGCAGAACATCAGGATCAGTTGGCACGCAAACGGCAAGAGGAGGAGCTAGCGGTAAAGGCGCGCATGCAAGCTGAAAGTTTGAAGAAACAGGAAGAAAGTGTGCGAAAGCAAGAAGCTATGAGGAAAGGTAATGTTTTCCGCATTCAGTTCCAATTTATTTGGTTGATAGCTTTTTCAAGTTATTGTGAACCAATGATTCTGGTGAGCGTCAGTGTTTGAAATTATTTATGATTTTCTCAGTTATCGTCATCTTTCAAATTATCGGTTGGTAAGTCGATGTATGTCACTGGATGTTAAATGAATACCAAATGATAACAAGTATGAATATTTTTTGTATATGTTTATAAGCTTTCAGTAGGTGAGCTCAGAAAATGTTAACAACGCACATAGCAACTATTTCAGCAACTATTGAACACGAATTGGCTTTAAAACATAAGTACGATCTGGAAAAGGTTGAAGCTGAAACTCATGCTAGAGCTAAAGCTGCTCGTGAAAATCGCGATGTTAATCTGGAACAGCTGCGTACATCCGAAAAAGAACGAAGAAAAACAGCGATTGAAAAAATTAAGTCAGTATTTTAAGCGCGTAATCAAAGTTTACCTTTTACATTATTAATAATAGTACAGTTTTATAATTTGTTTCTAACATTAGTTGTTTTACTTTTTTCACTAACATTCGTAATTTATCACGAGCTATTATTCAAAAAATGATATTTTTCCACAACTTGCGGTGCTAAATCATAAATTCAGGAGTGATATTCATTGCCGTTCGATGAGTGTGAAGTAGTTTAGGTTTCAGGCTCCACCTGACTTCTAGTGCATTGTAATATCATTTCGAGATAATAGAAATTTTCATATTGTCCCTTTAGAATATTTCACAGAGGAGCCATCACAAAAAAGTTAAACATGTATAAATCACGTTATTAAGTTAAAATGTTTCATTTAGTGTTGAGATTTATAGGACCAGTGGAGCAGTTTTGGGAGCTGGATTGCAAGAATTTTTTAACGACCCAAAAAAAATGTTCTCAGCTGTTTGTTTTTTGATTTTTTTGATTATTTTATTTTATAAGTATGTTGTTAAAGGTTAACGTCATAAGGTATTTAAGTGCCAATAAAAAAATCGGGTGAAATGATCTTGTTTGGATGTATCAGTTTTTATTATGAAGTATATTTGAACAATTTTTTCTCCTTTTTATAATAATTTGCTTCTTATTTTTCCACAGGTTAGTACTTTAACCGCGCTTGCTATTGGTTTCTATGGTGCCAAAAGAGGTACGGCAGTTGTGGCCCGTCAAGTCGAATCACGATGGGGAAAACCGAGTTTAGTTCGAGATACTTCACGTATAACATTCTCAGAACTATTCAGACATCCCATAAAGACATTTAGAACTGCTTTTCGATCTCAGGATGATCCATTAAGAGGAATTATTCTAAATGTAAGTAGTTTCTCATAAAAAGAACTTTTTTAATTTTCAGTTTTACTTCATGAATTTTATTTGCAGTGGTGGAAAAAAAAAACTTTTTCAGCCGAAGCTAGAAGCACACTTACGAGATATCGCGATAACTACAAGAAATACAAAACGTAATCATGGTCTTTTCCGGAACATATTATTTTATGGTCCACCGGGTACTGGTAAAACACTTTTTGCCAAGGTATAGTTTGATATGCTTGTGAAGTTTTTATTTTCATCATTTCGCTTGGAACATTTTACTAATTGCATCAACTTATGAAAACATTTCATTATTTTAATTTAAACAGCAGATGATTCTATAGAGAAGTGGATTCCTGGACTTCTGCTATTTTGAGATTGCAAATAATAAATAGTAAAATAAATTCATACATTCGTAATTTTAATTTGTTTCAGAGTTTGGCTCATCATTCGGGTTTAGATTATGCTGTCATGACTGGTGGTGATGTGGTACCTTTGGGACATGATGGTGTTTCTGCGATGCATAGGGTTTTTGATTGGGCTGAACATACGAGGAAGGGGTGAAGATTTATTTTTACGTATTTTCCCAAATACAATCTTGTGATTATTGCTTCATAGGGATAAAGTAATTTTGGTGCTCATTAGAAACTTTTAAATTTTTTCATAAACGAATAGTTAAAATACTCCATATATTTCCCTGCCAAAAGCTGAAAAATAATTTTGTGTGGATTAAGTTTTAGATTATGTAATGAGCAAGTTGATAGTTTGAGTTTATTTCGATTGTATTCATATATCTCTCGTTTCACCGTTCTAGTTTGGTGCTCTTTATCGATGAAGCTGATGCCTTTCTACGTAAGAGGGCAACTGAACAAATAAGTGAGAATATGCGTGCCACATTGAATGCATTTCTATTTAGAACCGGTGAACAATCTAGAAAGTAAGTTTTTTACTGTGCCTGACTAACTATTTTTTTAATTTGTACACTTTTAAAGCGTACAGATTGTTGAAGTTATTCTGCTGAAAACCTGAACTCATTAATTGCTTCTTAAGATTCATGCTAGTCGTTGCTTCAAATCAGCCGGAACAGTTTGACTGGGCTGTGAATGATCGATTGGACGAATTAGTTGAATTCAAATTGCCAGGTATGTTGGGGATCTTATTTTTATTGTCCTTTTAAAGCAATATAAGAATATAAAATACGCGAATTTACTTCAGGATTTTAATCTTACCTTTTTGAGAAGTTACTTTAAGTGGTTATATCCATCCCAAAAATGAAATGCGTCTGCTATTGATGCATTTATTTCACAAGTTCGTGGATTAGAAATTGTTTTTTTGCAATTAGTTGAAATACTTCTGACTACATATTCATGTAGAACGTTTGTTGGTTGTGAACAAAAAATGGAGTATTTCATATATTTCATTTTAAGGTACTGGATAATTGCTGGTATCCAGTATCTTAAAGTTTTAAGATAAATAAATGTTGATATCACATGATGTGGGGCAGAGTTTTACATATAAAGGTGAAACAGTCATAAGATAATGCAGTTTTTTTTCATTAATACTAGAAAATTTCAGGTCCTGTGGAACGTGAACGTATCATATTGCAGTATTTTGACAAATACATTGCTGCACCAGCTACATCAGGCTCTAAAAAAGCGCGTTTGAAGTTAGCAAACTTTGACTGGGTCCAAAAATGCACTGATATTGCGCAGAAGACTGATGGAATGAGTGGTCGACAGCTCTCTAAGCTTGTTATCGGCTGGCAGGTGCTAAATTGAAATACGAAAGTATGTATCAGTGTAATATAATTGTTAAAACTTTTAAAGCCTTAGGCAGCGGCATATGCTTCGAAAGATGGCGTACTTACAACCGAAATGATTGATCGTTGTACACGAGAAATGGTCGATCAACACAAGCAAAAGATTATGTGGCTCGATAAAGAACAGTTATCCATGACGCGTCTTGGACAGACAGTAAGTTCATTCTTAATGTTAATGGATTCTTTGCATGATTTTATCGTTAAGAAATTCATTATTAGTTATGACGTGATTATAAGACCTATTATTATAATCAGTGCACATCATTAATAATTCTTGAAAAACTTCACTTAAGAGAATGATTGAGAAGTGCGTATTTCTTAAATTCTCCGTCGGACTTTTAGAAGGAAGTCAGAAGATTTCAAAGTCTTAAATATTTTATCCTACGTTGTATTTATCATGCTTGACGATTTGTGTCTTGAGCTGCGAAAATACTATTTTGATGTTCCAGGCACCAAAAGAATTGTCACCGACATCGAAATTACAGGAGAGAGCAACAACATAAAGTTCATTTTATTTAACATCCCCAAAACAGCTCGTTTGCTGATGGATAGATTAATTCATTCCATATATGAGAATTTGTAGATGTTACTTGTTCAACTGTTATAAAATTTGATATCTGCAACATAATTCTTGACTTACAAACTATATTCTAGATATGCGTCAAAATTTTTAAAGGTAAGTACAAAGTCAGTAAAAAATTGTGATTGTCATAAGATTTGTATGATGAAAATCAGTACTGAAATACAAAGAATTGATTGCAGTATGGCATTTCTAAGTAGGAAATTTTGAAAAAGAATTTTAAAACTAGTACGTTTTCCGCTCAGCAATTTCATTTATATATTCCACACATATATGTAGGAGCGAACGCATTTAATGAAATCCGTACATAATATGGTGCGCTTTTAATGGTTAGTAATCGAGTTATTATCTTTTAACTGCTCACCGAAAGACATATTGAAGTTTAAGGCGAAATAGTCCTATGTTTAGTCCAATTCAAATCCGGTTTATGCAAACGACGAAGTTTATGAAATCTTATTGCTTTAAAACAGGTCGCTGAACATGTTTTCAAAGAATTGGCGAAAGCTCGAATTCGCTGAACATGTTTTCATTTCATTTTAAGATTAAAGGGGCATGCGGCAAAAGCTTCATGAATTTCAGAATTGACTTATAAAATTTTGCGAAATTCCATTGTCCCATAATACTTCTTAGCACTGATTGAGAAGCCCATGCGATAATTGTTTCAGTCATATTTGAAAATGAAGTCGTTCTACTGTCACTCTTGGAGCAAAGTTCAACATCTTCATTTTCCTTTTGCATAGTCTTTAATTCATTCGAACCATTACTAATAGAGACCGTTATTCCATTATCCGTGATTGGATTACGTTTCCATATCAATATTATGATTATTCCAGAAGGAAACAAAATAATGGGCATCTAGCAAGGTGATCAAGATAAAAGGACTATAAATACGTAGACGTGGATTTTCACGGGTTTAAAAGTGTAAATTAGCAAACGCTTGAATGCGAAAACTACTAATCGAATATTTGAGTGGGATTAGACGTGAAAGTAAGAAATGGTGACGTATTAGAGAACATGCCTTAGACATTCGTATGTGTTGACAAAGGAAGTGAGGATTTAAAACGAAAAAAGGGCCTCAATTTACTGCTATGGAATGATGATACCCCAAAATTAAGCGCAGAATATGTTGTTTGTAGATGGGCCTTCTTCACTCTCCGCTCTTCCACTAGACTTGTGCCATAGGAGTACGAACAACCTACCTGATGCCTTAGCTCATTATAAGTGTTGCCAGCTATACGTTAATACTCATTTTCTGATCTCTAAATTCCTTCTTCCTATTTTCAATACAACTCGAATGACATGCGTGTCAGGCTGTGTCTGGAAGTGTCTGGTGAAAGAGCGCATTTCAACGGCAGCAAGCACCGAGGGACATTGAGTGGCACCACTGGCACATCAACAACAGTATCACCACTACGAGCAGAACAATAACAGCAGTAATTTAATCTTCCCTGTTTATTCTCAATTCGAATATCTTTCGGACAGCGGTCATTGGCAGATTGGATCATTAAATTTATGTTATTGTAATATCACTATCGTTAAAATAGTCTAACAATTAAGAGAAGTGCGTCTCATTGATTGAAATTCTCATTTCTTTTGTTCATGAAGATCTTACCTTTTCATACTAAAGTGATTTCTCATTATCTTTATCAGTCTAGTTATTTTATTGATTGTTATTAACTTAATAATTTACACTCTTTTTTTGGTACTCCGTTCAACAACATATTAGTAATTTTTTTTAATATATTTTATTCGAACACAGTATCCGTGTTTATGTTGTTTGAGAATTGATTCTTTTTTAATCTAGGAATTACTTTTCTTCTCATTCACTTCGATTTGTATCCTCAAAGCTGTGTTAGTTTCAAATTTATTTGGCATTTTCATTCGTTATATCATATTCGTTTTTGATTTATTAATGAATGAATTTTGTTCCGAAATACCAATATGTTAGTTTCGGTAAAATACAATCACTTACTTTTACATGTAATCGAAATCTTGGTTTAAATCATTTGCTACTCTAAATAAATTCGCTGTAAAAGCTTTTGCATAATTTCAATTAAGGATTTGATAAGTTTCATTTACAGGAGAGGATTTGCGATATTTCAATTATTTAGCTAATAATTAAGAATTGTTCAGCCTTTTCCTCTCGTTTGAAAAATTGTAAGCTCCGCAAGGCTTGTAATTTTCTTTAAATGAGATGAGTGATTGTTGTTTGCGTCCTTTCCACGTGTTGTTGCTGTTTTATGGATAAGAAAATAATCGGTACGCCGTGGTACCACAAACAACAATGAGGAAGGATGAAACCGGTCGATTTTCTGATTAATACCATTTGAAAAAATTAGAGGATTTATATATTACAATAAATTTGCTTTATTCCATTCTTTCGTTCCATTTCTTCAGTAAAGATGAAAAGACGGTATTTTGCGGAAAGGCGGACGTTTAAAAGCTCAAATTACAGCTCACCAATTGTTCAACTAGTTGTTTATTATTATTCATGCTGATAAAAATTAGCTCCTTACATCAAAACTATCAAATTGTAAAATGAACTACCATACTGACCGAACACTTTAAATTCAATATTTGTAATCATTGATTTGTGATGATAGCAAATGGAAAGGAAGGCTTTTTAATCTTATGTATCTTATATAAATCGGATACCATTCATTTTTATTGAATAATTGCTTTACAAAAATTGTTGTTCTACCAATGAATCTTTTTTTGTTTACTCTGACACGAACCGATGTCATCTCAATGATTTGTGGCAAGTTTGAATTGTGATGTCTGTATCAAAAATATGCGATCTATCGCTAGAACAAAAGATAAATTGCAATTTGTCCATTTAGAATCGATGATCGTTACTTTACAATGAAGCACGATTTTGAAATATGGAGAGATTGTAGACAGCTTGAATAATCTAATTAAATTCGTTCTTTTAACTTTATCTTATCTGATTGTCAGAAATTTCCTTCACGGCATTGTTATTAGTTATTTTTTATACTTCGATATTATCATCATTGATAGAAATTTCAAGTAATCAAATAATGAACAACGTTATAGACAACTGTGGTAAATGATTAATTCATTTGAGGATAAATTACATACCACATGCATGAGCGCATGAGGAATTTTTCAAATGTAACTTATCCAAAATTTATTGTGACAAAGATCGAAGAATATTTTTTGAGGCAATAACTTTCTTTTCAAATGATTAGTTTGAAAAGAGAAAATGCAACATTGTTAATTTTGAAGTTAGAAAGCGCAGTAATTGACTAAAATTTATTTTATTACATATTTTATTAGAACATATCGATGATCAAAGTATCAAATTGCTAAAAACTATTCATTTTAATCAAATTTCATTTGATTGTTTTTACTATAATAGCAATCGCAAATTGTTATAATATAAAGACGTGATAGTAAAATAAATTTTAGTAAAAAATGCTAATGAAAACCCAAATCGACAAACCAAACTAAAGCAATGCTGCCACATAATTACTTACTTTTTGACGATAGCTTACTAAGCCATTGAGTCACAATTTATCTTTTTACTTCAAAAATCAAATATGTTAGTCTTTTGAGCACTCTTACCATCGCGCCATAAGAAAAGTGATATAGCAAGAATAACATGATACGGCAAGAAGAAGAAACTGTTAATTACAGTTTCAAATTTTATTATTATGCATTTACCGGAATAGATAGACGGTTCTTGTGATCGCAATGTGGAGACGGATGACGGGATAAATCATTTTTCTTGACCGGTGTAACTTTTTGATCTTTCCTCCTATTGCTTGTCCGAAAAAAGCAAATTCAAATTTTAGCGTGATTTATTGGGATCGTTAGTCTTTCATTTTTTTGAAAATGTTTTTGAGTTAGTGATTGCGGTGTAATATGGATAGCAGTGGACTTGAACAGAAGATTCATCACATGAATGATATTTTCGATCAAATACTTTTCTTCATTAATTAATAGGAGAGAGAGAGTGGAGAGAGATATCTCACTACTCAGACATAGTGGTGTATTAGGATGAATCCCCCTCGGTATAATGCCTACCCAAAAATGGAATCCATAAAAATTAGTGGGGCGAGGAGAGTGAGTGGAAGGGAAGGGTGGAGAGGTAAAACCGGGACGTGGTGCCAGGCTGAAACAGCTTCGTACTATCGCCCACACAAGCAGATACAGGACACAGTGGAACACTGACACGGAAGGACCCCATCTTCTTCCCGTGCTGTCCCTCCCCGTTGTAGGTGACAAGGGGAGACATGTAGACGATTGCTTAGAGAGTGGTGGCCGAACTGAATGAAATTGAACTGAACGGGAACCAGGGCGAGCTTCCTCATCGTGCTAGGTACTCCCAGCCTGTCTCGTCTTCATCTTGCACTCACCCCTCCGCCATTCGCATTCACAGACCAACTATCCCAACGACCAACACGACCGGTCAGCGACCGTTAGGCTGGTGCCAGTGGCACCATTTCAGGCACGGTTCTACTAACTCACCATTATCAACAGTGATTGCATTAAAGGAATGGACGAATAGGCGGAGATAGGTCTTTCAAGCCTTCCTTGGATCCGACATGATACATCCTCATTTCCCCCTCCCTTTTCTATAATCATCCCCGTGTCCTTCCAATCCTATAACCGCGGTTCATTGTCGTTGTCATCAAATTTTCTCAATCGCATATTTGTCATATTCCTTCGGACACACCGATCATTTTGATGTGGACAACATACTAGTACTACTTGACCACGGGACTTATATTTTTATGCAATCACTGGCAATTGTCTCTTTCAATTTTTTTCAATATCTTTTTTCAAATTTTAAATTTTATTCACTTCAAAATGAAATGTTTTTAATCTTCGATTTAAATTCTTTCAAACATTTGCATCAATTATAGCAGTAATGGAAGTAGCATAATTAAATTGGGAAAAATTGTAACAATTCGTTATAATTTGCTAAAAGCACTTTTATGCTTTAAAGGCTTTATTTTGAAATTGATTAACGCTTTAATTGATCCATCGATCCTTATTATATAAATCAAGAAGAACCATTTAGTTATGATCGCATTTTTCAGTTCAAATTGACTACTCGCTTGTACGAAGCTAAAAATCTAGCAATTGTTGGATTATCTATATCATTAAATTCTAAATTCTATTACAGTTTGAAATTCTTAACGATCAAATAGGCTTCAGAAACAACAGAAATATTTGAAGATTTGCGAAATAATTGTTAGATAAAAGACTAAACAGAATGCTTGAAATGATTTTCATAAATATGAATGATCTAAATTACTTAAACACATATTTTACAATGTCAATCGATAAAAGCGCCATAGCGCCCCTACTTCTACTCTCATCTTTCTCATTGATTCAGTGTTATTGTTCTGAATTATCACTAAATATTATTTGAGAATTTTGAATGGATGATATTTTTGAACTTTTTTTAAAATATGAGAGAAGTGGAATGTACTAAACAATTATAGCATCGACAAACAACGCTAAAGCGGAAACATTTCAACCAGCATTCATTTTAATTTCCTAAATTTTAGAAATGATTGCAAATCAGAATAAATTAAAAAGAGTGAGAAGTATTAGCTCATTTACTGCTATTTTAAATGATTTAAAAATATGTTACTTCTTTCCATTTTGATGTTGTTTGTTTCACTTTTTTACCTCCTGAATTTACATAGCATTCTACCATTTAAGCTATTTTTTCAATTCAATTCTTTGCTTGTGAAATGGAACAGTTAAAATTGAAATTAAATGAAAGTATTTTCAGAAATTTACTGTGTTGCTGATGCATCGTGCTTGATATCATTGTTTTTTTGGTTGCATGTTTGACATTATTTCCAGTAATTCTGCAAATACATCAAAAATACCGATAGCAGTAATAAGCAACAAGTATACTGCCGAATTCGTTCAATTTGTAGTATATTTTGATGTTTTATTGCTAAAAAGCTTTCTTATCTGAATCCTTTATGTTGCATCAGCACCAACCTGCGCAACAATCGACAAATCAATCTGCGCTACAATCCTCGAAATCAATTCGGCGAAAACGCTTACAGGTATTAACATCTATTTATTTATTCAAAGTTTTTTGAGTTTTCAATCTATTCCCATTTGTGATACCAGTTTAGATTAATGATATGATAGTGATTTATAAATACCTCTGACATCAATATTAATGTAAAAATAAAGGAAGTAAGATTCAGCTACGGTAATAAAATAAATATAAAACTACATTGCTTAATATCAAATTATTTCCACAATCTTTCTGATGCAAGTCATAAATTTATGACAAAACGCTTAACATATCTGTTCCTTCTCTCTAAATTTCCTTCTCACTAAATTAGCATTTCAAATGAGAGAAATTTTTTAATTTAATGACCAAAGTTATTTCCATCATTTTTCCGAAAAGTTAATGTTGCAGTTTGAGAGGAAGGAGTTTTAATAAAATATTTAAGGAGTTTCAAAGTTTCTATATTTTCGGACAAAAGGTCAAAAGTACAACGAAATTCACACAGGAGCAATTCAATGACCTTGATGAAATGTTACTGCGAGATAAAAATTTAATGAAATAAACAGAATCTAAATAAAATACTGGTTTAATTTTTATGTCCTCAAGATTGTCACTACAAATAATCCAAAGCAGCTCAGCTGATTGGTAAATATAACACTTTTTTCATCGCATTCTATGCTACGCTACTAATCATTAATTACGGATAATTTGCCTTTTTTGTTTTTCTTCTACAAATCCAAACTATTGTTTTCTTTTTTTTCTCTCAAAAGACACAAATTTCTAAGCTACCAGTCTGTTGCTCAAGCTCTCTCATCCATTCTCTTTCACAGCCTTATTTTTCTAGCCTTGTAAGTTATTCTCCCATTCATCAAATCTTACAAACTTACAAACTTTCCTGCAATAAAGGATTGACTCACTCAAAAAAATTAGGCTTTCAGCAGTGAATAAAATAATGATACAAATAATTTTACATTCCTTTGACAATTTGCCCTAATTAGTTACATTTGATCCTTAATTAAAAGATTCCGCTTTGATCATTCAAAAGGGATTATATAAATCGTCATTTAATAATAATGAATTAATTATTTTCCATTTTACAGCATTACATTCGTCAAATTAAGCGTTTGATTGCGGAACGAATACCGCCAGTGGATCCGGAAAAAAAACTGGGAACCATCGATGTACTCGACAAAGCCGTCGAATTGGTATCTTTTTTTACTGATTCCATGATTCGTCCATTCCTCAATCTATTCATGATTTCATGTCTATTCAGTTTCATTTTCTTATTCTCCGATATTTCTTTAATATCTTTAATCTTGTTGACTTTTGTTAACATCAACTTAAAGTACAATTTTTTTTTGCCTTTTAATTTTGTCTTCACATGATTCTTATAGGTACAAAACACGATAACTAAGTTTATTTTCTGACTTTTCCGCTAACTATAATTTCCACTCAACAGTTGTTCAAGTGTTGTCTAAAATAATGCATTTTGAAACTAAGTAAACGTCAACCGAATTCATTTAAAATAACTGATATCCGTTAAAATCGATTTTTTTGCACTGCAACTTAGCAAAATGACCGAGCCCTTTTAAATAGCAGCCTATGTTATGATTCAAAATCCTCCTTTTGTTCGATGGAATATGCAACTGAAAAACTTTTAAATTCAAAACGAAATAATAATTGATATTAAGTTTGTTCGTTTTACTATCACAAAAATCTCTTTAATTAATGATTATTCAAAATTTATCCAGTCGATGCTATTCAGAATCGATTTTATAAAATTTCTTTTAAGCTACGAACGACATCAGTATATGGTGAGGTCACTAATCCTGGCCTTAGTCCACCTCATTCTTGGCCTGATTCACCGCTTGATAGTATAACACATATCAGTGACGATACCTGGACACCAAATGTCGATTTCGTCCGCCGGCATATTTTTTCTGCAAATATCAGCCTACCGGATGGTCGAATTACTGACTTCCAGAAAGTAACTTCGAAGGAAATCAACAATGTTGATGTCTGTATATTTCGAGCAGTTTTTTAATTCGTTTTTACAAAATATTTGATTTAACGAAATTTTAGTATTCTTTGATTTTTTTTTCAGTTTAATCGGATTTCTGCAATCATTTGCCAACATTTTTTCTAAAAATCAACTCTTTTAATAAAAAAATGATGAAAAAAAATAGTTTACCGAAATTAAAATTGACTATTCAATTCTGAATTGATCAAATGTTTTAGCTTTTGGTAGTTAGAGGAAATAGATGGCAGTGACTTAATACTTTTTGGCTGTATTAATTAAATAAATTTAAAATTGTAGGGTTTGCAATGTGGGGCGTCTTTTCTGGATTTGGTAGCTTTTTATGGACGACAAGCATTGCTTGCTGGCGCATATAATGATTCGGTCGAGAAGAAAAAAATTCTTACACGATTTGTCGGAGGGTAACTTCTCTTTCCTTTTTCTTCAATTCTTATTTTGAATGAAGAAAACATATGTCGCATTGTTTCTTTTCTTTAATGATAAAAGAATTTCCGGACGCAATACCATAGCAACTTATATTTCTACTGCACACGTATTCACGAGCTTCTCGTTCAAGCACTGTTCTGAATAAGTTCCAATATATCTCGTTATAAAAGTTTAAATTTATTTAGTCCTAAAAAATTCATGATAATTTATTCTTTAGAGTGAATAATAAATAACTGCAGTAACAATATCTAAGCGTTCTCATCTCTAAAATACTATCATAAGAGTAATGGTGCTGATACTAGTCTCACTAGTAGCAATATGATAGCAGTTGATAACGATGGGGATTGTTAGTATCATGATTATCGTATTACTCAAATCGTATGATTTGAAATGAAGTTGATCAAATTTTTGGGAAAAGTTTTAAATTTCAAACACAGAGCGGTGATGTTGAATAGAAATACGACAGCTGGAAGAGAAAAGATAACATTTGATTTATTTATCAGTCAGGGACATAATTTTTGAAGTTAAATTTTTAAACATTGAAGAGGAAAAAATTGATTACCATCAAATGATAGTAATAGTGTACTTATGAAATCTCAAAAAAAAATTTTTGGAAAATAAATGTTAGGAGGAGGAGGAGGTAGAGGAAGAGGAGAATATATTCCGTGTAATGCACACGCAAATGGCTGTACCCGATTTCATGTTGTTCCGTGGTGGTTGTTGTAGTGATGAGAAAGATATGGTAGTTATAAGCCGATAAATGATGATGATGGAATATACAATATGGTTGGGCTGATAAGGACTGTAAGTAAATGATATTAATGTTACATTAGTGCAGCGAAACAAGAGTGCGTCAAACAGAAATGAGAGCACACACCTGGTTCTAACAGTATCCGATGACCAACAACTACCATCTCCGGTCATCCGCCATCTCGTTCCCTGACACTCCCGTCTCTCTTACATTACACAATATTCTAGTGACAGGTAAAATAAAATTTTCAATTTAGTTAAGAGTTAAATTAATTTTATAGATCAATTAAAGTGATTGAATTAAATGATGGTATTAAAGAAGATATAATAAAATATTCATAATTTCTTTTCATGAATTAATGAACAAGTAAATGAAAACATTAAGCAATTTCATGTTTAAAACGAATATGAATTAAGCTTAGAATTAAAAAAAAATTTTCTTTCATATAACTTACTGATAAAATATCATTAACAATTCTGTTAATTACCCTATGATGAAAAGAGAATATGAATAAGTGGAGGAAAATTATGGGAAAAAATACACTTTGGAGTAGTATAGTGTAATTCAATAAGTTGGATTTGTAATGTCGAATGAGTAAAATAGGATAAAATTTTAGCAATGGAGCTTTTGAACTGCTGTGCGAATACAAGCGTTCCGGTCGTGGAAGCACTGTATCGACACATATTCATGCATTGGAACTGGAAAGTGCATTTGGTCCATCGAAAACGTTGAGTACATTTGTATTCTCAACTCGTCATACCAGTTCGTGCTCACTTACTTATCTTGATTCATCGTAAGTATTTTCTTTTTTTTATCCTTTGAGAGTAATTTCTAAGTAATATCGAAAGCTAAACCTTTGTTTAAATGAGAAATGATGATATTTGCAGAGCAGCTAATTACATTGGTTATTTGCCGGGTGAAGTAATAAATCAGTCACTATTATATCTTTTGCATCCGTATGACATGGCGCAAATCAAGCAGATACATGCGACTTGTAAGTTTAATCTTATAGAATAGCGCTGTCAATTTTTAAATTAAAATTTGAAGGATAATTGAAGTAAATTAATTGCAACGTATACTTATTATTCATTTAGTGAGCGTTCAACGAAACGAAATAATACGACAACGTCGTTTGAGATGGATTGCGTTTAATGGTAGCATAATTCATACGAATTCGGAATGGTTTGCATTTTGGAATCCGTGGACTCATAAAGTGGATAATGTAATTGGACGACACACGCTAAATGAGCAACCGATAGGAAATGCGGATGTGTTCGCTGAACCATGTGCGCCACGTATTATTACTCCATTGGATGAGTTAACAGTGCGCAATATTGAATTCGAAATTACTGCTATATTGAATAAGGTTAGTTTGTTGCATTTATTCTGTGCTATTTCTTATAAAAATACATTTTTTTATTCAACTCATTCATTTAATGTGTTTTTTTCGAAAAGTGTTAAAATTTATACTTTTTCATTTGTTGGCTAATTAATGCTAAAGTCAAATTGGGAGCATACAAATAAGACTTATTTAATCATACTTAGCTTCAGGAACCAAGAGTACTGATAAGGGATGGAAGGTATAAAGCAGCACCAATTGCGCATCAAAAGAACTTAAATTCAATTGAGCCGAAGTCGTCTGGTACACATCTTGGCACTTACATTGATAATCTTATCGAAACATTCGTAATAAATGCTGGAAGTTCCGGAAATAAGGTTATTTTATATCTCATTCGGCATAAATTTGGCATAAATTGTCTGGTTTCATAAATATCAAAATCGAACAGTGACAATAAAATCTTCTGAAAAATGAATCATTGATTCAAATAAATTAATTTTGTTAAAGTATTTGGCATCCACTGTTGATAGTTGTCGATCTCCAATTATTCCAACTGATCTTTCCTCAACAAACTGCTGTAACGCCATACCTTTGACATATAATCAGGTATCAATTGTATAATTTGTTTCGCTTATTTATTAGATTAAAGAAAATGAGAAATTTTTATTGCACAACTTAACGAAAACTGATATAGTTCTAGTGTTAGAAGATTTTTTCAACATGTCATTCAAAATTATACAAAAGAAGAAGCCATCAAAAAAGTGAAATATGAAATTTCGATTTCAGATTAATTGTCTAGAAAATGTGCATCGGCTATTGAAAAGTCAACAACAAACAGGAGATGTAGCTGCAGCGTCGATAACCATTGAGCCAACACAGGAAAAAGTTTTATCACCGAAATTACCAATATCAGAAGATTCAAAAAGTCCACTTCCCGTACGAGAACAGGAAGATGATAATCGGTAACATTATTGAAAAGTCAACTTGAAACTCTTTTAACAGCAAAGACAAAATTACAACATTCAATCAGATAGGATAAAATAATACATTGATAAATATAAACCATTGATAAATATATATATCAATTTATATTGAAATACAGAGTTCCTACGGATACAGCAGCATCAGCTATGCCCCTTACGAGGGAACTTTTGCAACAACATACCCGAAAATGGGAACAGGAGTATCGCGATACATGGAAACAACGACTCGGTCTGAAAAGATCCAATCAGGTTCATCCTTGCTTATGTGACCAACAAGAAGATATCATAAATCATAATTCAACGAATATAACTATATCTAAATATTTTGAAAGAAGTCTTCAATTTCGAAATTTACTACTCTCTTCTCCGTGTCCTGCAAAATATTCACTTGATTTTCTTATCAAAATTTCGAAACCTTATGAAAATGAATGACTCTGTAAGTATAGCAAACGGAATTTGTTGTGCCCGTATCTTCGAAAATTTTCCGCGAAAGCAGTCACAGATCAGCAATAACACAGAGTATATCGACTACGTTACCTTCACCGAGATCCGATTGTTGGCCACCAATGAACAAAGATGATTATTATAGAAGTCTTGGACCAAATCCTCCTCCACCACCAGGCAAAAATTTTCAAGTAAGTCGATTAAATATAATTACTTCTTCTTTAGCACCACAATACAATTTTCATTTATAATGAAAATATTTCTGTAATACTCATCATAAATAATATCTGAGAAATATTTTCTTACCTGTAGAGTTTTAAAAATATCACTTTTTTATTAGGTTGCAAACTTAAATGTAGGAGTTAGATCTGATTTTCTAGAGTATTTTCATGAGTATAGATTTTCAAGAGTAACTTCTTAAGAAGCAATCGATAATATCTATTTTAACCATATTTCAAAAAATATTTTTAGATTACATCGATACCATTACCACCTCCGTTACCGACTGAAGAACATCGGTCTGCATTTGTTCCGCTCCCCAATACTGCGGCGTCTCAATTTTCTAACACTTCAAAATTACCTCGCGATATATCACAACCTATTAACTTATCATTGTCTGGAAATATACAACAAACGCATTCAGCAGTAGGAATAACAACGGTAACATCCGGTACTATCGAACGACATTTTTCCACACAGCAACAGCCGCAGCAGCAATACCGTTCCGTTATAAAAACTGCGCTAACATCCGCACCACAACAGCAACGACAGTATCTTGAATCCAATAGGATAGTATTGTCATCATCAACAGGGTCAGCACAACGTTATTTGTCGACTGGAAATTTAATGGATTCAAGTCTGGAATGGTATCCAGCTACAGAGTACAGTAATGGTGCGATTGAAGAAGCCGGAGAAACTTGTGCAGCAAGACTAATAAATATGGCGCAACGGGCGCAGCAACAATTAGAGCAGAAGCGATTTCATTCCCCGCTTGCTACTTCACCGGTTAAGGAGGCTACCGATGCATTAATGTTACTACAAGAAACAACTTCATTTTAACTAGTTTTTTCTAGCTAAATTTAATTTTGAATTTTAAAAATTAAAAAAACAAAATGTTTAAAACCTCTATTTCCAATAATTGATATTTCGATTGTTTTCATCCGTTATGCAATCATTTTCAGTCAACAAAACTCATTAAAGGAAATAAGCACTTTAATAGTTCCAAGTACTCCGAATATATTTCAATTCTATTAGGATTAATTTTTCGATAAGAAGGATCAAAATATTTATGCCTATTTGGTACAAATCCTAAAGTACAAGTAATTGTAATAAAGTTTATGAAATTACTTTGTTACTTTTTGCTATTTCAGATGTTAGGCTCTTTGTTAATTAGCATTGTTATAGGATTGTCATTTTTTGTCCCTCATTTTCCTCTTCCTAGCTTAGATTACTAAGGCTTCTGAGCGCAAACTATAAAATGACACTAAAAAAATAACCAAACATCGTAAGCCAAACTAACTTGGATCGATTTAAGCATTCATGTTAATTCATTCATCCATAAAAAATGAACAATTCGGATTTTATTTTTTTTTATTTCAAATTTACTTACACTGCGCGTAATTCTCACACCGACGTCTTTCTGGTTCTGGAACGATTGTGTGTCTATTGTCCGTTTCCTTCTTTTGTATTTCCTCCTGTAATTTGAAATATCGTTCCAGTTTTTCATCTCTTCCTCTCCCTTTTACTCTTTTTGCCATCCTTTAGCTGCCTGTCGATGTGTGTATGATGTGATTTTGAAACTTGAAAGTTACGAAAAGTGAGAAGAAACGTGGCCCTCCAAAGATTACGAATTCAAATACCTGACTTGAACATAGAGGAACAGAACACCTCCAATATCGGACTTAATTAATCGCCTTCATTCTCATTTGAAAGATTATTTTTCCAAAAAATTCGAGACTTGACTTTTTTCTTCCTCTCATTTCCAATCATTGAAATCTTTTATACTTCGTACTATGTATATGTGTGTATGTTTGTGTGCGTGTGTCGCCTCATTTATTACTGTGATTTTTGTAGTTTTCATTTTTTCCTATTCTCTAATACTGTAAATTGTATGCCAACAAAATGCAAGTACCGTTGCCTCAAATTAACTTCATTTATATGCTGCCAGTATTATGTTCTTTCATATTTTCTATTACCAACACTATTTGTTGGGTATCCAAGTGATTTGTGAATATTATATTAAGCGAATACAATTTTTTTCGGCACCCGGGAAACTCTTTGGAGAAGTTACAACAGGCGCAAAATAGATAACTGACCCTAAGCTGTCGATTATGAGCACAATTTATTAGACGTGATTTATCTCGACCTCTTATTAGATGATGTCTAAATAAGGGGATAAGAGGATAAATACAAAGACACTAGTGTTTATTTGATAGTAATATTACCATATAGCATGATGAAATTTATAAAGGCAAGAAATAATACACTGAAGCTCTTCAGAAACCAAAGACAAGTGGAAAGAACAAAAAAATGAAAAATCATGCTTTATTTCCTAACAAATTGCAAGTCGAAAGAACGTATAAATTAAAGTCAAAAGTATAACCATCGATTTATTTTTTGTCTTCTTTCATCAATTTTTTGGGAAAAAAACTATGATTCTCCACTTTAAATTAAGAGGTATCATCATCTCAACAGTTGCTATGGATAAATAAAATTAAAATAATTGAAACAAATTTGGCAATATAACCAAAATACAACACAATCAAATTAATCAACAGTCTACAACTCATAATTTAGCTCATTCACATACAGAAATAACAAAATACCTAAATTCACAAAATCACATATTATCTCTTCAGTGCAATTCGACCACGACTTTTCATCGATGCACCACCACCACGTTTTTGTCGCATATTAATATGTCCCCGTTGAATAGGATGCTCCGCACTATATGCATGATTCAAATTCACCAGATGTGAAATAGATTTATCACAAAAAACACAACCTCTATATGTGGTTTTCTCCTCTGGCAAAGAAAGCTTATCCTGTAAATAGTTTAAATACAAGAAATTTCTGAAGCTATTGTATAATAGAGACACAAACTATTTGTAAAAATAGAATAACATGTAGTCGTAATTTTTAGCTTCTTAAATATGAATCCGAAAATTTATTTCCCCGACTTGGGTTTAACAGAAAACTTCAATACTTTGACAGCATATCCATGCATAGGGTTACCTTATATTCGGCAAAAAACAGCTGTGCACCACAATCTTCACACTGCCTAGTAAGAACTTTAACGCGCAGTGCACCTTCGAAAACAGTTACAACAGCAGAGCACTTGTTGCAAGAAATACGCCACTTTGGCGCAGATTGGGGATCCAATACCAATACTCCATTACCAGCACCACACTGACGTGGACACTGCACTACTCCCAGCGTTCTAGAAATCAGAAGTTGTAAAAACTTTTGCTACATGAGGAATTTTTCATTCGTCAACCAACTTTTAGAAATTTAAGCTTTTATATAAGATTTAAGCCTGGAAACTGAAGTGAGCGCAATATTACTCCCTGCCTACTCAGCAAAATATAACTAACAGGTAACTTTCTGCGACTTACAAGAACGAATGAGGACACACAGGATTCGAACATTCGTGACATCCTGAACCTTTTCTCATTCCCTCAAATGGCGGATTATTATAACAATAAGGACAAAGCGCATATGACATCGACAATTTTCCTGAAATATGATAAGTAATGTATAAGCAAATATTCTTTTTTCTTCTATTTTTTAACTCCTACCTATTCATTTCATTATTTTCTGTATGTAAATTACTTTTGTGATTAAACACTAATCACACCTCATATATTCACGTTTTCTTTTAAAATTCTAGAAACAGAAAATGGAATAATATATCATTCTTGAAATCAGTTATTTAGAAAATTCACCCAATTTTCATGAAAGAAAATAATTTACCTCCAGCACCTTGCCAGTAAATCAAATCAAAATCATCCAAAGGGCACTTGTTTTCACCATGAAGTCTCAATAACCCATCTTTGGCAGAAGGCAATGAATATGTATCCTAAAAGCGTGTAAAAAATAATGCTGCTTCTCTCATTAATTTTCGTTATAATTACCTGGCAGTTTGGACAATGCAAACGTTGTGGTTTGGAAGCAACGAGTTTCATAAAACGCCGACATTTTCCACATCTGCTGAATGGCTTTCCCGAAGCAGCAAGTGAAGTGAACGAATCTGAACAAATATATAAAGAATTTTTACTTATATGTTCTGCAATTTGGACTAGAATATCGAAGAAAGAACAGTAACCTATCACTTTTTGAAAAACTATACTGTATTAGAAATTTTAGGTTCACTGTTATTTGCAAACGATGAAAAACTTTTTTTACCTTCGAAAAGGGAGTCCACGAGACCAATATTTTCTACAAAGAAGATAAATTTAAGGCGGAAATTTTCAAGCACATGGTTCTTGACCTGTAAATATGCATATGGTGAACAAATTCAGCAAAGAAGTTGATTTTTCCTATTGATTTTTCCACTCTAAGACTCAGTTCAACAAACAAAATGTACGCAAATGTCGCTGATTCTTTGCAATAATTTGAGAGCACATGTCAATACATTGAAAGCTAAATTATGGGATTTCCAGTTTTCAAGAGAAATTTTTAGAAGGGGTACGAACTTCAAGCATTCTACAATTCGAAAAATTACTGCTATTTTTAAATGATTAAAACAAAATATCACATTTTGTAATCAACAAAACCGATTAAAATTGTTCTACAGTAGAAAGAAAGTAAGAGTGAAGTGAAGCATTCTACTGAGTGCTCAGTACCAGAAAAAAAATAGAAAATATTTACGGTACGTATTTGTCTTATTACAAAGTCGGATTAAGGACTGACGTTCAGGAGATATTGAAACTCCCCAAAAGCAATACACTAGAATGATAAAACTGGATGTGATCCAGTTTCAATATCTCTTTTTTGTGAATTTCCTTCTTCCGATCTCTCTATGCTATGAACAGCTAGCTCTTCCGCCCCTCTAAATTTTTTTTCAGTTCAAAAATGACACCATAAATTAATTACTTACAGAACAAAAATCGGCATATCCCTTAGCTATGAGATTTAATTGACTTTCAACTTCCGACCGCATTGTAGGTAATACCAGTTCCGAATCTATTTTCCAATAGCCATGTACAAGTGCAATGCCTAATTTTGTCGGCTTCAAGCGCCTTCTAGATTCAACCTAAAGGGTTTGCAAATAATTTGAAATTTGAGCTTGAACAAAATAAGAGAATCATTCAGCGCATATTGAAAAGCTGCATAAAAAGTATAAAGTATTATATTAAATTAATAAAACTAACAGTAACATAATTCCGCTGACAAATATTACTAATATGAACGGGAATAGAAGCATCCGTCCCGATGCCGTGCTTTTCCATTAATGAGATCAACTCTGATTCGGTGAGGTAATCCGGTGGATTCGTCGCATATTCACATATTTTTCCATCTCTTAAATCGTGCTCTTTGAGAGTAAAAAGATTACGAAATTAACATGCAGAATTTTAACTCTATCTCCAAGCCGCAACATTTTAAACAACCTTTTCTCCTAAAAGTATGAAAAGTCAATTTCCTCTACTGTAGTTTTTTAATATCCTCGAAAGTTAAAGAAAAGGTTCAACTATTCCATAATTAAAGGGGCTTGAATACGTATTATCGGAATTAAAACTTACTTTAAAATGACCTTTGTGCCTTTGACTATATTACAATTTTGTGCGTCTTCCTCAATTTTCTGCCAGACCATAATTTCTGTGTAACCCAAATTTATAACACACTTACTTTTTGCAACAAATATTTCGTTTGCGACATTGATTCTTGAATAATTATGCTTATGAATCTTTAGAAACAGCAGAGCAATCCAATAAACAAATTAAGAGGTAAAAATTATAATTGCAAAAATCAAATAAAACAGTGAATATAAATTATAAGATGTAAATCTTACATTACACTCGTGACAAGATATGTACAAGGCCTCATTAGCGTTGCAATAAAATGCTGTGTGACATAGTCGTATACTTTTAAGGCTTCTAAACAAGTCCAGAAATTTACAAAGAAATTTTAATATGATAAAATCTAATAAATTCCACATTCTTAAATGACTTAATTTTTCATCATTATTATTGGATTTACAACTCACTTGAAAAGATTTGCGGATTTAACAATTTCAAGGAAAATTTAAGAAAGTCAACCTCCAGTCAGTGAACCATCATTGCCACGCAAAGGTGATATTGGAGGATGATCACCTTTATCTTCACCATTACGAGGCGCTGTTATTCCTTCTGATAATAACTAAATAAAAAATCATGATGCAAAACTTTGAAACAAAAATACCAAAAAATTCCTTCTGCAATTAAGCAGCGTAAAATGACCTTTTCTACAATATCTTTCCAGCGGCTATCGTTTTGTTGATGGCGCAAAGCCTCAGAAAAATCAAAATTTGAAGGATATGCTGTAGTTTCCGTTCGTGGATAACTTATAAAACCCTAAAAAACAAAAAGTAAGCTATAATGAGTACTACAATACTATCGATTGTTTGTACGAAAAGTGATTACCGATCCGTTTGTACAAAAAGTGAAAAAAGTTTTGGGCACTCGGTAATTTGAATATGAAAAGGATCAACTCATTATTATATAAGAATTTCCGATTTTTTTCTTAAAAAAACTCCCCACAAAAACTTCACAGAATGTCTTTACACCAGGGTATGTATCTTTTTCTTTTTAAATATTCACCAATCATAAAACTGGAAGTGAATTCATCCTCTTTTAATTAAATTTAGGCATACAATAAAAACCGTCAAAAGAATAAAGGTTATTAAAAAAATGAAAAAATACGTACCCTGGTGTAAAGATATTCTGCAGTACTCATAGTCTGTGCAGGACTAAGACCTAGGCCACTGCTGGCAACCTTCAATAATTCAACAGTATTGAGAGCTTGCGGACGCTCTTTCCGAAACTCCGAACTGCTTACATCGACAACAACGCCTTCATTCTGCTTCTAAAACCTCAAGTAGCATATAAATCACGATATGAAGCCTGACAAAATTCTCTAATGAGATAATACTTGAATTATGTACCACATAAGAATATGAGTTAAATAAGCAAAAAATAACATTCAAAGAAATAAAGAAGAACAAACTTTGATTCGATCAAAAAACAGCTGAGAGACGTCTTTATCAAATATACGACCTCTGGTATAAGTTGGCTTTAATTTCTCACCCGCTAAAGTTTCGAAGGTTGTCTAAAAGTTTTGCAAATATCAAAAATATGTCAACTGTCTAAATTAAATAGTTTGCAGTATGAACTCTGAAGAGAACAAAAAGTGAGAAAAGATATACCTCTAAAACCCAGTATGGCTCTGGCTTAAACTGTGTAATCAGATCATGCCGAGTTACACAGAATCCCAGTGTTGGTGTTTGACATGGACCAAATGATATGGTTGTGCTATCGAGATTGCCATATTTACCCTAAAACACGTAAAGTATGCTTGGCAAATTGCTAATAGGTACTTATTCTCCTAAGAAGTGGTCCGATACAAATGGAGAAGATATATCAAACCTTATTTTTTTTTTATTATATTAAGCCTTTTTTATCAAGGAAACTTAGCTTGTAAAGTGTAGAAATTAAGATATGCTAATGATAAATTAACCAAAAAACTGGAACGATTAAACATAATATTATATAACGATAACCTGAAAATATCGCGTTTGAAAGCGCGTAAAGGCACAACCAATCCTCAGATCAAGCTCTTGACGTGCATCAACAGATAAGCTTTCATTGATATTAGGATGCCCAAGATTCCGCATTGCTGACTTGATATCTTTTGCAGTGATGGCTGAGAAATGTGCCCTGAAAACAGTTTTTTTCAGATTGCAAAAGGTCTCTAGAGATGTTATCACCTCATAGGGTAAGCTGGAAAACAGCTTAAAAACAAAGACAATAAAACACATATACGAAACTATCCATTTTTAAACAAAATCAAAAAATATACCTGTAAATATTTCTCATAATATCTCCTGTTTTTGGTTTTTTTATTGAATTTTTGACCGCTTCAATCACCTGTCAATTAAAAAAATATTGGAGTCTGCATTATTTTAATTGAAAACACAGTGTTAAAAGCTCAGACAGCCTTTTATAAGAACTATAACAGAGGTCAAACACCTTTTATTCGTTTCAGTAATTTGATTTCAAAAAGTTAATTAAGCAGTACGAAGATGATGTAAGACTGTTTCACTAATCCGGAAAAAGTTGGGTAGTACGAAGTTCACTAGGCAATCAACCTACAAAAAATTTCAAAGAAAATACCAACTTCAAAGCAAATATTTTCCCCCTCTTTATCGCAATCCAACCATAAGACCAAGAAATCACAACCTTTTGCTTCCGAAGCAAGATACTGCAACGTCATTTTGAAAGAAAAAAAACATCAAAAGCTTCTATTTCATATTAAGAAACATTATTAATTCTGAAAACTTCCAATCATATCCTTTCTTCATTCCTCATTCACGTAGGAAAATACCTTTAACAAATGACGTCTGCTATACTCGTTATAACAAAAGAGTAACTTAAAAAACTGAAAAATTTGACTTTGATAAATGTTTTCGAATTCTTAAATTCCCACCTCTTGCTTTTCTCCACCATCTCCTCTTCCTCTCAGTTGAACAGAGCCCGATATTAAAGATACTTTTCAAAGAGCATTTTAGATAACAATAGCTAACAACAATGGCAGTTGGTAAAAACTGGATTTTGAGAAAACTAAGTCACCTCATTCATTCGCATTTTTGGATTTGCTTCCTTTTTCGTTGTTGATGATGAAAACAATTGAACTGGATCGACTTTTTCCCAATTATTCATTTTTGGTGGAAAATCCAAAGACATTATGTGACCACAAGTACTTGTTACCTGAAGTGCAATTCCAATGATTTCTACTTCAGTTCAATTACAAGAAGAACAAGGAGTTAATACTGCCTTCCTATAAAGTATTAATATAAAAATGAGAGGCACTTACCATATGAATAAATGTTCATAAAGACAAAAAATTAAAGTATTACATATTAATTCGTAATCCCTATTTTTAACTAATGTTTTTCACAGTTGTTCACCTTAAACATAGCTGATTGTCCTTGGAATTGCCCACAGTATTCAGAAACCGAGCAAACATTGTTCCAACCTTTAACAAACGTGGGAAAATATTTGTTTTAAATAATGAAAATGCAAGAAAATATAGAAACAGCAGGAAACAACGAATAACAATGGACAAAAGACAATGAACAAAAGCCTATACATATTTTTAACTGTATTAAAATAGGTGTAGAAACGAAAGAACTGGGAATGGTATACGCAGAAAAGTAACAATAAGAAATAAAAAGAAAAAAAGGAAGGAAGATAAAGTATGATTTCCACCTTTTCTTTTCCTAACTTTCCCATCGGCAAGGATTTTTGCAATAGATTCAGCAAGCATCGGTTTTTCGGCCACCATCATTATTGTCAGCGAAGCCATATCCACTCCTGTCCCTTTCCTCCTCTGTCACTCTCCTTGCCTGCATATGTTTTGGTTAGCGTCTTCTTAACAATTAAAACTATTCTGATGAGCTACCGAATACAATGCAGCAATTAATTAGATGATCATGCACTAGCACTATTGTAACGAACATAGAAGACTTCAACTGGCTACTGATAAAACTCAAGGCAATCCATGACCTAATATGACTTTAAAATGCTTTAGCGATCAAGCGCTCGTTGTGCATCCAGAATTTCAAGATGACAAGAATTTATTGCCACTACAACTGAAAAACAACGATAATCACAAATTAAAACAAAAAACAGTATACTTAAATCCGAAAACTAAAAATGAACATACGGAATACTTTTTATGATATCTTACGATTATAATAAAAGACATTTTTAAGGATAACACAGATAAGTATGTCTAGTCAATCAGTACCGCATAACAAAAAAAATTTCTAAAAGCAACAACATATAATAAATGCATGAATAATTACATGAAGAGGCAAAAAGCAATATCAGAAGCTCCTTCATTTTGGTGGCCATTCCATATCAACGCCTTCAACATCCAATTCAAGTATGTCAACTTCACCGCATTCAATTCCCAATAAATCTGCTAATGATGGTCGAGTTCGACCAAAATCACCATGCACAAATTCTTTTACATAAGTTCCCGCTTGCGTCTCCATTCTAAAACAGTGAAATCACTATTCAGAACTTCCGAAAGGGATTTCCAGGAACTATGTGTCCAATAATTTAATTTGCAAAAGAAAGCAGTTCTAAAAAAAACCTTTGTCCAGAAATTATTGCCATATCAATTACATCAATTCTATAACAAATTTTAGCATTTTCCAAAAACCTGTTACTTTCAATCAACACAATATTGAACAAATAATTGGAACTATGGAAATGAAACTAAAACTAGGACTGTATCAAATTAAATGAAATAGTAATTTCTGCGTGCCACAAATTAAAAATGAAAACCGTCCTTTTCCAAAGATACATCATTAGTAACTACAGCTTAATGCACAATTAAAATACGATTTAAACTAGACAACATAAGCACACTTTATGGTACCTGATTAGGAAATGATAATCATCCAATTTCAGTGCTGCTATGAAAAATATCGTTCTTCGTCGTTCGAGCAAGGGACGACGCTTCAACACCCGCACGGGAGTTTTTTGAATCATTTCAATAGGTGCTTTATGATGAAGTTCTTTTAGTGCAAGATCATCAAGTTTCCGTGTACTATAGCAATAACCGGTGTATAATTTCCGCCTTTCTAAACAAACACGAGGATTATAGAAATGTATATAATATATTTCTTCTATAGTATACTTTTTATAATATAACATACTAAATATAATATACTTCTTATAATATTTTCTATAATATTTTTTCCTATAATATATTTTATATATTTTTCCAACACTATCAATACACAGAATCAGCTAAAATGGCTTACGTTCTTGACCATTTTTTATCAAAGATACTTGGTCAGACGTGATCTGTTTCAAACCAGGAAGAACTTTAACATCACGATTTTTATTAATGCTGTCTTCCAGGCGCTTTAATGTGGTCTTCAGGTTATATCTTTGGAACGAAAAAACTTTCTTGGGATTGATTAGCTGAAAAGAAACAGCATTAATATATTTATATTTCACCTTATCTCAGAGTTTTTAACGAAAAAAAGAAAAAATTATTACTTGCAAAACAAATGGCCTTCCATTACCAAGCATTCGTACATCAATATCTTCTCGTCCTGAAGCTACAAAACGTGCAACATCGCATCCAGTTTCCATGACAAATGGTGCTCCAACTTTCTCTGATACCTAAGAAAGCATTAAATTTCCTATCCAAACCTTCGAGATCTTTGTCTTTTCTTTAATATTTTACGTTCCAGCTTACTGAATGTCCAATAATTTTCCTCATATCGGCTGAGGCAGACCATGGACTTTGAGACAAGTTTCTGGAAAATTTGCAGTAGCGTCCGGCTATGAACAATGGACTGCGTTCAAATGAGATTGTGTAATGACACGTTGTAGACGGTGAAGTCATCTTGTAAATCCTGCAATCTTTTTTTCGAAAATAAAATTATTTTTGAAAAATCAGCAAACGAACAATGCAAAGCATGACCAAATTCATGATATCAAGACTTGAGAAAAATAAAATAGGATAACAAAGGTTATACAACACCTTGAACCAACTATAATAAGATAAATAATTCTCGGATTCAAATGCTTGCATCTGATGTTGCGATTACCACAAATCTTTTCATGAATCTGGATGAAGCTGAATATTACCACACAGCACCTAGGTGCCGTTAGATGCACCTAGTTTAAACTCATTATTTTTCACTAAATTATGAAAAACTGCTTCAACGGATTAGCAAAACTTGAAAATCATGAATTCATCAGACAAGTTAATGACAATTTTCTCCTAGAATCAAAAATTCATATCGTAGAAATATACTTTTATATCTTAAAAATACAATCAAAAAATATAAATAGCCAAAAGTCATACAATGCATATTCTCGACTAAGCTTGTGTGTCAGGCCTGCAATCCGTACCTTCGTATACATTGACAAGAGTGTATCGTCTACGCTAGCATATCTCAATCTTTTCCGTGATATTTGAAAATCACTGGGGAATTCCTTCATTAAATAATCAACATCACTCTTGTTAAATTCGTCACTGACAAATGTAAGAGTAAGAATTAAATCAGAATTCAATGACGGTGATAAACCAGTAGCCTGCAATTGGGAAACATATACAGAAATCTACATAACTAAATAATGGAAATTTGCCTGATGCACTTGAAAAATTCAATTATGATGATGAACACTAATTCTACAAATCGATAAAATTTGTAGGTATTGAAAAGTTGAATATGTCTTGAAAAAAGAATACTAGCACTTCGAAAGTTCAAAAAGAAAACTCCACGAACATTGTGAATCCTTTCCAAATAAGTATTGACGATGCGTAATTTAAAAGGAACCGCAGAAAGAGTACCGTCTGATGATGTATTTCGATAGGCAAGTTCATATAGTGCTTCCCGAAGAATCGCCGTGACAGGAATGTTGATTGCAAGTAGGAATGATTTCGAATCATATCCATTGCTTTTATATATTTTCTTTACCTGAAAAATTAATTACAGCAAACTATTTAAAAGTGTTCCTCTAAAAAGCTTTCAAATCTATATTCAAAAATTGTAAGATGCGGTGAATGAGAATAAAAACAATAATCAAATAAGCCTTGATCAAACACAAAATCTGATTTAAATTAAGTTTCAATCCATAACTAAATGTGAAAGTTTTAGCTATTAGTGTGTAAATGTAATATAATACTTAGAGAATATCTTGCCTCAGCTACCACTTCATCAGCAAACTTTTCATCCAATACACCAAAACAAAGTGCGCAATTGAACGGCTCCTCCACATTCCCATTTTCTTCCGATCCTCTCAACTGTCGAGTACAAACAGCACAGAGTGGGATACGATCATCTGAGCTAGCATCACATCCCATTCCTGCACTCAGTGGTCAGTAGGCATTCCCCTAACTTACAAATTCTTAATCACAGCTATTCCTCCAACAACTCCAACTCTGAGAATATTCAGACTGCGACGACAGTAAAGACAATTAGAAAAGCAGTATGAAAAGTAATGTTGTATTTGGAGAGGGACAGAGAATGAGCATATGTGCAAGATTATGTGCAGAGAATGAACAAGAGAAATGGGAGAAATAAACATCATAATGATTACAGAGATCGAAAGGAAGAGATGAGTAGGCAATAACTGGTAGCAAAAGATATACAACAGATATTACCATAACCATATAAAAATCCCGTGCAGGACTATACTTCTATGTCCACCAGATGACCTATACTCTCTCTATCGCGATGTGGTGTAGGATACGATAAAGTATTTCAAGTGGAAATAGTGTAGAAGCATGAAATTAGCATAAATAAAAGGACATATAAAAGGATTTCAATGTCTCTTTTGTAAATTTTATATTAGCGCGGTGAACGGTCGCCTGACTTTTATGGTTAATTGAGAAGGGAGGGGACGGTATGTGTTGGTCGAAGAAAGAAGTGAGTACTGTGTCCCCGAGGATCATTTAATTGGTAAGAAAAGAGGACTGAGGGAGTTGGATCCACTTTCAAGCCTTTCACTATTCACCACTATTTTTGGTAAAGTTATTGAATCAGTTGGGATGGAATTTTTCTTCAAAAGAAAAAAGTTTACTCATAGAAAAAGTTATTTCAGAAGCTGTCAGTAGCAACTCGAGCTCCTGTCCAGCAGTACAATGAAAAAGTCACTCCTGAAAATCAGACTGTATAACTATAATACAATATATAACTTATCCAAAGAAATTAAAATTGAAATTGGAAATAGTTCTATCAGTCAATTGGAATGAAAATTTACAAAACACTGAAGAGAGACAAATAAAATCTGAAAATTGAAATTAGTAACTAAAAATTTTCAGAGAAGTAAAAAAAAAGATGATAAGGGAACAAAAAGTGAAACGAAAGGATTGAAGGAAAATGGACATATGAAGAAGATTAGTGAACCGGAGAAAACTCCCAGTGAATCGGAAAAGAAATCAGGTGAGAAAGAAAACAGTGAGAAAGAAAAGGAAGGCAAAGATAAAAAAGAAGCAGAGGATGAAAAAAGAAGTGATAATGAAAAGAAGGAAAATGATAAGGAAAACGATGAGAAAGTCTCACAGGTATCAGTTTATCATTCATTTTTTTTTTGAAAGTGTTGAACCAAATAAAAAGTCCTGGTGTGAAGTAAAACGAGTCGAAACATTCAGAAAAAGATCAGTCCAAAAAGGTGGCATAAATGTAACTTACATCCGAAAATAGTTCGATTACACATTCAACTAGGATGATCGTATATGTTCGGGATATGGAAGGTTTATTTCTTATAAAATAGATAAATGATGAATATTTAAGAAAGTGGAATAAACTATCAACTTCTTTTCCAGAAGAAGAAATTAGTGATAAAGGTGCCAACAGCAGTTAAAAAAGCCGATGCTGAAGATCCGCAGTATCAGGTTTGATGAACTTTCTACCAATTTTAAAAACTCGTTGAAAACATTCATTTTAGAAAAGTAAAATGCTTAAAGTTAGAGAATAATTGCATCGTTGATGAAATAATTGATTATGCAGACACTTGCTGGCTTAAATGATGATTTATTTGGTACGACAAATTTGGATAAACCAAAAAAGAAGCTGGTTATAAAAGCACCAATCGGTTTTAAAAAGGCAAAATCAGAAGATCCACAATATCAGGTGGTATAATTTAGTCTACTTTTGAAATAATGTTACTAATTTTTACTGACTAGTGAACGTGAAGCCTTCTTAAATACAACAAATATGCAATTTAAATGAATTATATCAAATTGATCTTGTTATCGATTAGATTAGGGAAGAATTCGTAATGTTTGGTATGACTAAATTACTTTGAAAATCGGCAATAGCAAGTCTGATAATTAAATCCGGCATCCACATAATTTTCTAAATCGTCTCCATTTTTTGAAACTTGTATTCTCATAACTTCATACAACTGTGTGATAGTTTAAATAATGTGATGTGTAATAGTTTTTTTGTGATAGTTCGAAAAAAAATCTTTTTATCACTTAAAATGTTCACCGAAAAGTTTCAGTTATTCTTTTACTTTAAATCATCTTTTATTAACTTTTATAGGAATTAATGTGAGAAAAAACAATATTAACAATACCCTTTCTCTTCTATCTCTCCAATTGAGTCCCTCCCTCTCTCTCTCTCTCTCTTTCTCATGACAAAAGAGACAAGAAGGACAACAAAAACTATTGAATTAAAATTGTCATATTTTCAGCTTTCCTGCATAAAATTAAATCTGTTGGTAAAGGTAACAAAGAAATTCATATAATTTGTTGAAAACCTTTTGAAGAAGTAGCTTAGTCAGTTAGATAAGTATTTGAAGAGAAATACTTATTAAAAATTGTTTGAAAAAGTGTTAGTATGAGTGAGAAAGTTCAAGAAAGCAACTGAACTTTCTCCAAAAAGCATTCACCACTTACTGTATATCTCTAGCTGCTTTTTCATGCATACTTATACATTTACAGCTTTTCAAGAAAAAATCGAGACTTTTTATTAGCTAATAAAATTAATTAATAGTTTTATTGAAGTTTTAGGGAGTTGCTTCCCTCAGGTATTTTTTATAGATTTAAAACGAATATTAAAATGAAATGAAACCGCAATATTAGTATATATTTTACAGACACTTGCTGGCCTCAATGATGATTTGTTTGAAATGCAATTCAAAAAATGAATAAAATATAGCGAAAAAAGAGAAGTGGAAAAAGCTCAACAATTTCATGTCAGAGATGTTTTTAGAGGACTGAAGAAAGTCTTTATTTGCGGATTATATTTTCCACTCACTTATGTAATATCATTTATTATATATTATGAAGATAAAATAGACGTTCATGTAGTGATCAAATTTGATATTTCAAAATCCAAAATCATTTATGAAATATCGAGTGTGGTGAATGAGTAAATTAACATTTTAAGTCCTCTTTATCTATCACAAATACTGTTACATTTCGATCAAAATTTGAAAAGACTTGCCATTCTTCATTTCACTCTCTTAGCACTACAATTTAAAAATGTCTGTCCTAATACCAAAAATAAATTTCAATAATCCACCTCCAAACTTTTAAATTTATTACTTTTATTTATTTATATTGACATAAGACGTGGTGAATGGCAAAAAGTTTACATTAGGGCGGTATTACTTAAGCAAACAGCAAGCGGTAAAGTACTTCAGAATCATAATAGTTTGTATCGCATAGCAATTCAGATACGGAGATCTTTACATTTCAAATATTCGGATGGATGCCACTACAATACATGTCTTCCCTATCTTTGCGCCATCAAATTAATTTACTATTACTTTACTAAAAAGATTTGCATTGTGATTACAGCATCAGATGTGAAAAAATGAACAATTAAAAACTTTTGTCATTTTTGGAAAAATCCCTTCAGCAAAAAGCATTTCAAGTAATGCATTAGTGACAATATTAGCAATAGGTTATCGACCATTACTTAATATTAATGGTATTGATATTCAGTCAATGTATTGCATTTCAAACTAGCCTTTCGGATATTGAATTTCTTACCAAAAGGAAATATACCGAATATGCGGTAAAAACAGATAAAGTACAGAGATCAAAAGTCAGATAGTGTCTAGTGGTTTGTATACTTGGTTTGAAGGAGGCATTCATAATATTTTGATAGCCTCATATCTCTAGTACAATTTTTCCATACATCAAATTTTAGACTTCACTATGTATGAATTATTTATTATGTATATTATTTTGATATTTATCAGTTAATTACAATAAAAGCGATTGAATTAGTCAATTTGCGGTCTCTAACATTGACCACTTCTAGCGAAAAAGAGAAGATAGCATAAAAGGATCAGTTGATAAAAAGTAGAAAGCTATAAATGCATTATTCGGATTTTGAAGACGTCTGTCCTTCATTGCTAACTTCACCTAAAAGCTCTTCCTCATTAGCTGCTATACTATCTTCTTGAACATGTTGTATTGTTTTCGTATTCTTTCCTGAATATAAACTTCTTCCACCTATAAGATATTACAAAACTTCACTTCATTTATTTTTCGTTTTGAAATAATAACCAAAATAAACTGTAATGAATTAAGTTATTCCAGACTGAAAAAAACTGAAAATTTTCCCCTTTCAATTTTTATTTTTTAAAGAATTTTAAATTTATCAAAATTGCCAAGTTGAAGTGAGATAAAAAAACTGCCTTTTTCTCTCAAAATATTTCACAAAATTAAATTAATTCATTACTATCATTTGATGCCGATGACGATTTCTTCGCACGAACACATTTATCGGTATTCACTTCATGTGGCATTAATGTCATCGAAGCACGGAAAAAATAAAAAAGTGGATAGTAGAGTAAATTATAGCAACTAGATGAGTAAAGATCAGCGAATCGTTCTACCTAAAATCGGAGAAGTTCTAAAAAAAGGTTTGAAAGAAAAAGAATTTGTTCAACCAAATTTTTTTTTCGTTTTTTTAAATTCAAATTTGAAATTCAATATAAGGAAACTGCAAATCCCTCAACCATATATACCTGTGATGCAAAAAATGTGGTACGTGATCCACTTCGAAACAATGAACCCATTTTGCTATAATACTTATCCATTTCTTGAGTTCTTTCCTGTAAAATTAACTAACTAATTTAACATATTTTATTATTTATGTCTTAAAAGTTACGAAAAAACAAATGGGATGGAATTGAAAATAAATTGATAAAATGTTATTCATCTTACTCGGATTTGAGTATTTCCTTCCTGAATAATTGGTTGAGCAGAGATAATATTTATCTGATTATACATTACTTCAACCTGTTTGGTCAATTCTATCATTTTTTCGAATAAATCATGCCGTTCTAACCAAATAGATATCTCTTTTACCAGTTCAGGTATCACAAGAAATGTGCGCCATCCTTTTAAATGAAGATGTAATTAGCTTATAAGTTTCAATGGTTAATAGAATTCATTTCAGTTTTAACTGAGAATTGATGAACATTCAAACTAATTCTATTTAATAAATATGAAGTATGAAGGAGAAAGAAAAAGTAGTCGGAAAATTCAATAAATCATTTATAAAATGAAACATTAAAAATAATTAAATTCAATCTTATAAGCTGCTACTCTAAATTAGAGAAGCCAAAAATTTTATTTTAATAAATTAAATTAGAATATATACCTTTTGTTTTCTTTGATTTAAGTACGTCACCGAAGATATGATCACCAATATATAACACTTCTCTGTCACGAGCATTAAATAACCGACGAAAATCGTCTGAATTACCTAAAAAATCAATAATTAAAAAGAGATAAAAGAGCTTTTGAAAGATTTCATTCACTGTTTTATTGAAAAATGATAAGGGAAGAGAATATGGAAGCATGGCAAAACAAATTTTCAATAATTTTTATTCTCAAATAAATTCCAAATTCCTAGTCTCAAATAAGTAAAAAAAGAAATACTACATTTTGGCAATCCTAAATCAATTGAGCTATTCATTGATAATCAAATTGATGGGTGAATTACATTAAGGGCTTTAATGATCTGCCTGTATTATGAGTCATTTTTAGAAAATTCATAGCACAGAGAGATAAAATTATATCAATCATGAAGTTATATTCATACCATGAAAATATTAATCAAAATAAATATAGGGAGATTTTTTTTCTTTTAAATAAACAAATAATTTTATTCAGCAAAAACATACCGCCAGCATAAACATCACCCTTTTTAAGTAATCCCTGATGGACACCAATTTTAGGCGTTCCTGTGGAAGTATCGATTTGTCGAAAAACAGTGCCTTTCATGAACCATAGCGGTTTTTTTGCATCAACAATTGAAACATCAAAATATGACGTCCAATCTGATCCAATCAAATAGCTTAGTATTCCCTGAATATTATTCAAAAAATAAAACTTGTAAAGCTCAACTTTTTATTAACACATATGTTTGATTCAACCAAAACCACTGATGAATTAATATTAAAATCAGAATCAAATTTTTAATTTTCGACCCACAAAGTTTCTGTATTATAAGGCAAATGTAGTAACAAACATTTGTATAACTATAGTTGCTATTGGTCAGAAGAAATGTCCGTCCACCGTGAGCACTGATCAATTGCAGAAGTGGTTTAATTCGGCTATCTTTAATGATATATTTGTCCAGATTTTGCAAAACATCGCTTTTTAACGAGCTCTTAAAACATGGATGTAAATTCAATCAACATTAGTCAAATTTTAAATTTGATATGAAAAGTTAACATGAAACAGGTATACCAACGAATAGCAATTATTATTATAGTTTTAATTTATATTAAATGAAAATTTAGACTATAATTAAAACTAAAACGTTCATTAAAAATTTGCAAGTAATTGAAGTTATAAGATACTTGAAACAAATAGCACTTCTAATAAAAATTTTAATTTTCGGTTATAAAGAGTAATTAAAAGAAAAAAGAAGAAAACAATTTAAATATTAAACACTCCAAAAAAATTTTAACGAATTAGTTCACACATCATTGTGAATGTAATTGACAGCGCTTGAAACATCTTCAGCAAGTGATTTATAAGATATTATCGTATCGCCGTTTCGAACGCCTGTACCATCGTTAGTCCTGAAAACGAATGTGATCAGAGCACTATGCTCATATTCTCAAACAAGTTTTAATAGTTAAAAATAAAATTAATAGATAAATGAGGATATTTTTTTTAGCATCTTTAACTTTCAACAAATTAATTATAATTTTTGAATGGGAAATAATTATGGTTTATTTTCGGATATTATTTCTATCTAAAAATTAAAGCAAAGGTATCATTCTTCCCGTTCTTATCACTCTTCTCGATAATACCCAGTAAATCTTTCAGAAAACGCTGTTTTCTGCATATTTTTTTTTGAAGGCATCTTACGAAGAATTTGATTTTTGCTGAAGTATCTACTCTTCGTCGTAAACAATTAAGCTTTTTAAAGAATTTATAGGTTATAAATTAATTATCTTTCTGAGTATTGGTCAATCAAATTATTTGAATCTCATCCAATCTGACTAAAGATGCTAATATCTCCTGGACGGAAAGTGCAGATATACTTCATGCACAAACCGGATAATATAGTTAATTTTTCCAGAAAAACATGTATCATCTGTTAAGTATCTTATCAATGAATTTACCTACTTCTAATACCTCGAATTTCTATTGCATTTCCATTTTTATAGGTAATATGCTTCTACAAAAATGGAAGTGCAATAGGAATCCAAGGTATTAGAGTTGGATGAATTCATTGGTAGGATACTTAATAATAATTAAAGGAAATTGAAAAGAGATAGGCAATCTCTTCAACTTTTCTATCTTTTCATTCATATTTTATGTACAGCAGTTCTTTTTTTTGACCACAGCTAATTTAAAAAATAACTTTTGAATAAGAAAAAAGTATTAAATTTTTGATGTAAGAAAATTTTCCAATCTTTAACTTTCTCTAGTCTTTATTACTTTTTAACTTTTCTATTTTATCGATTTATTTAAATTTAACTTTCTAATTTTTCATCGTACAGTTAAAAATTCATCAAATGTTGAAATGGGAAAATAACGAGAAACAGAAATTAGAAAAGTTCGGATTTGAAAAAAATGAGCCAAATGTGTCAGATTTCTAAAAATAGAAATTTCCTAATTTTTAAATCACTGATCTTATTCAATTTGCAGGAAAAGAAAAGCACATACCCAACATTTAAAGTTTTTTTTCCTCTTTAAATGTTAGATAAATTTTGTTTTACCTTTCATAGTCCTTATGGTTGTCGAAATAATGAATAAGTGTAATGAGCACATATGTATGGGCTATATCAAACAATGAATTCATCACCAGAACATTTTCTTGATGTCGCAATGAGATGAATTTGTTCGGATAATGCTTTTTGATATCCGATCTATAATAATTTGTTAAATTTTTAAATTAACTTTTCATCAGTTAAAAAAATTTTATGGGAACATTTTCTCAATTAATTGTTGAGAAAAAAAACAACAGAAATGATGGCTTCACCGGCAAAGATAATCATAGCCATGTATACCAACAAGAATATTTCCAAATCCATCAACTTTTAGCAAATTACCAAAAGTTCGATCAAACCATAAACCTATGTATGATAGGCAGATTATTGTGCAAAATTAATTAAAAAAAAATAGCTGATGCAAAAGTTTTTTTAGGCTTGCCCTTCCATGATATCGCTGATTTTCCTTAGCAAAAGAATGCAATTTTTTGAGAAAATTTCTATTAGAGATGCAATTAATTCATCAGTGGTAGCAGTGGACTTCAAAGATTTTGGTTTGAAAATGAAGTCATTTCTGATGGTTATTAAAATTCATTTAAGAAGATCACCGCGAATGGCAAAGCCTTGTTCATATGGGAATGATCGTAATTGTTCAGGATAACCGAGTAATATTAGACGATTTATAATACTGTTGTATAGCAAAATATCATATTCTGGTGATTTGTAAACTAAAATATTTTTATGTTGTTTTAAAATCAAAAATAAAATTGAAATTGACTTCACTGAAATAATTTCATGAAGGAAATATAGAATTCGAAGAGGTGAAAAAAAAACTACGATTAATTCATATACAAAGATCAATCTATATCAACAAATAATGATTTATAAGTAGATTGAGCTCAATGAAATTTTCGAGAATTTATAATTTAGGAGATTAATTTAATAATGTTGTTAAAAATTTTTAGCATCTAATTTTCAGGCACTTTTCACTTACTTGCTAGTGTAAAATCCATGTCAAATCCATAATATCGAATTTTTTGAAGAAAGACTGATCGATTAGAAAAAACTCTAAAAACAGAAAATGAAATTGTGCATGAATTCTATAAATCGGATGCAATCCTACCGGATGAAGTAATTTTATATTTGATGCGAGCAAAGATCAAATTTCAAAATATACTTTCATCTTCAAAACCGAAATATCCCTCTTACATTCATTTTTTCACTTTCGTAGTTCAGGCTTCATTCCTAATTTGTCGTATTTCAATTTTGGCATAACAAATAAACTGTTGCAAAATGAGAATTTCCATAACAAAAAAATTCCTAAGTTACTTTTTTTACCTTCCCCACTTTTTTAAACGTTGAGTTCAAAATTATTCGGATCATCAAAAAGCTATCACTCTGCCTTCACTATCATAAGCTAGCAGATCAGCGACTGAAATGCATTACTGTTTGCATGGATCATTCTCGAAATTCCTCCAATCCTTTTTTATTTCGAAATTTTTAGTAGAAATTTCTGCAGAATTTGTTTTGCATTTTGGGGGAGTTTTAGCATTATTTACTTTTCCACTTTTCTGCATTCAAATTTCTTCGAGGTAATGTCTTCTGAAAATCTTTGAATTACGTTCAATTTAAGCAACATATCATTCTTTTAGAAATTGTTATTAAGGGCATCTAAAAGTTTCGAAAAGAGAACACAATTTCAAATTTTTAAAAATTAAGGAAGAGTTTTTAAAAATTGTTAGCTATCTCCTCGAAAAGTTCAACTTTTATATCGTCAATCTATTTCTCTATCTCATTCACCCTCTTCTCGGACTAATTTTAGTCCGATAAACGTTTAGAAATTTGAGATTAAAATGTCGCAAATAAACTTTAATTCCTTTTAACAATTTTTGAAAGCATTTATGACGAGATTTTTTAAGAAAAAAATGCTGTTGCCAAGAAAAATTGCAACTATCAAAGGAAGAACAAACCGAAAAATCTTCCAAAAATAGCTAAGAATGAATTCATTCTTAAAAATCCTTTCTTATGTGAAAACAGTAAAAATTTGAATACAATGTCTGCAGGGAATGGTGCAATATCTAAAGCAAAAATTATAAATAAATCCACAGTATAGAATAACGTTTATTATGCGGCAATTTGTTTATGATAAATTTTACAATAACTTCTGGTGAGAATTTACATGTCCATATTATTTTGCACAATGGAATGCACAAAAACTAATTTCCAAATTCAAATTATTCGAACACTACTCTGACTGACTTCGTTACAACATACTGCAATGAAAGATCATATGTTCAAATTATTTTCTCGAATATATCGTCGGATAATGTTAGTGATGTATTCAACTTGCGGATGTCGACTTTTTTCCAACAAAATGATCGCTTCGCGAAGATGATCACTGAAATCTAATTCTATTCAACAAAAGTATGAACATATAAATGGATTTTGCTGTTTCAAATCCAATGATAATGTGAAGATAAGTGAACATTTTGAAAAAAGTGAGGGATTGAAATTTGTAAACTAAATTTAGAAAACATTTCATTCACATGATCGGGAATGCATGTCACCACTACAAAAAGAGTATTCGACTACTTGTTTGGAGATATCAAAAACAAGACAAATTAAAGCAAGTTCAGTTTCCTTCTGGCTTACAGGAATTTGCAGAATATGGTGGAAATTAATCGAGATGCTGTAGTAAGGACGACGATTGTATAATCTAAGAGTCTTTGATTTTTGCTAATAGACTAATTTATATTCACAGTTTTACCAATTTGGACATTAAATTTGCTTTTTAATTCTTTCACATACAGCTTACAAACAAGCAATATTTTAAATAGTATTAAAGTACTAAAAAATACAAACGGTAGTGCTTTCTGTTCCACGACCAGTTTGAACACTCCAATAACAGCTCCACGTTTGCCTTCCCAATATTCCGGATTCGGTTCGATTTTCTCCAGAGCATCGAAGGATTTTGCTGAGTACAAATAATCACCAATCTTAACTTTTACAATTATTGTATCTTATATCAAAGATGAATAAATCATAAAATCATTTGGAGAAGCCATAATTGGCAATGGTTAATATTCTATTAATTATTGTCAATTATAATTGATTTAATTTCAAGAAAAAAATATCCCAAAAAAAATTTCCAAATTCTGACAGAAATCTCTCCGTTCCTTTCATTATTTTATGTAAACTATTCGAATCGTTGCTTTTTTGATTTAAAAACCATTAATTAAACGTACCCTATAACAATCGTTCGCAATTAAAAATAGTAATTTGAGGTCATTATCGGAGTCCTTCATCTTTCCATACATTTCCCAGGCTAAGTTACTTTTACCGTTTTGGATATCTGAAAAATGATTTCAGATCTTGAAATGAATGCAGGCTAACACCATCATCTTGTAGTAGGAAAATTTCTCGTAAAAGGAATATACAATTCCATTTCTTCATTTTCAGCAATTTAATTAATTCCAACTAAAGCGTGAAATGAAAAAGGAGAGAGATGATAGCAGAAAAGACAAGAAAATTAAAAAAAGAAAAAAGAAAAAAATTAAAGAAAAACAAACAGGCTCGAGCAAGGCTAAGAAAATATACTGGTTTTTTCCTCAATTCTTCATCAACCACAAGTAATAGGCTAGCCTCGGCTTCTGCGCTGTTACCACTAGCTAATAAGGCTTGACCAATGTTGAAATTAAATGTGTCATCGTCGTGGAGATAGGTCTAAAATGGACGAAAAATGAGTGAAACTTCGATCTTTTTTTCAATCTGTAAAACTTGAAAGATATATCACAATTTTTTTATAAGACATACTTTAATTGAATTCAAATAAACAAGCACGTTGTCAAATTGATTGCTTAAAAAGTAAGAGGACGCCATAGCTTGCCGACCGACAATTGTATCTGTTAAAAAAAGAAAAAAATTATTTAAGTGAGAATATGAAGCAAAACTGATACTTAAAAATGGAAAAATTTAAAACTTTTAAAGTGAAATTTATGATAGGATTATGAAGCATGTCAAAACGAAATATACCGCATTCAGCAGGTGATTCTCCAACTATCCTAAAGTGCTCTTGAGCCACTTCCAAGTGCTTCTTCTGCAACACAATTAAAGTATTTTAAAAAAGTGGCAAATGACTTCACAAATACAGTTTAGATCTATTTTTTCAATAAGTAATTCTCTGAGATGAAAAAAAGAAATACAAATGTTAGATTAAAATCAAAAAATTTAGATAAAATAGTCCAACTCACAGATTTCTTCTGATAACTAATGATACAATATGTGATTGCTTTCAGAAGATGCTCAGTTGGATGTTGTGGATTGATATCGCTTATCAGATTAAGTGCTGCTTCAACTTCACCTGTAAAACTAATTATTAAACTTTCGAAAACGATCTTAAATTTGATTTGAGAAAGAAAGGAAATTTGAAATAAGTGTGAACAAAATTAATTCTATCTCTTCTAATGGAGTACTCAATCTTTCCAATTCATTCGTTATGTGATCAGATTTAAAAAGAATTGGTGATCATCGATTTCAAAATTCGGTTAAGAGAGAATATGAAGCTTTAGTTCGGGTCGTATTATAAAACTTGCGATTTCTTCTTATTCTCTCTTTCATCTACTTCTTTTCCTTTTTATCTGCCTTCCTTTTTTGCAATTCCTTTCATGTTTTTACTGCAACTTATTAACAATCCTGAATAGAGAACCAAAAAAGACGTTATTAATGCTCTAATCCGAAATATCCAACAGATAGAGGAAAAACTATATTTTAATAATGACATTAATTGATGATTTAATTTAGAAATTTCAATAGAACGAACTAACTTACAATCAAATAAATTGTACCTCTTTTCAAGTAGAAAATTATCAAATTCAGTTTTGCTTCAGGAAAAATATCGATAAGTGGTGGAAAGACTTGAAGTGCGGCATTTCCATCACGAAAAACGACCTGAAATGAAATGCACCAAGTCAACGTCTGAGATTTAAAAGAAATAGATTTGCAAATCGAAAAAAGTTTACATGCAAGCAAAAGACAAACTGTATTGTGAGAGATGAGATCCTTTACAAACATGAAACTTGACGCTTTCACATTTTGTAACTTTTGAAGTTCTTTCGCTGCAGTTTTGCCATTGTATAATTTGTAGTGATTGCAGGCTCGCAGATTTATAGCAATGGCACTGTCCGGATTTTCATTCAAATAAAATTGCAACACTTCCTGTATTTAAACTGTATAAATTTTTATTTTTTAACAAATTATAGCATTAATAAGCTTAGTCCGATAATTTTGCATATTTATATTTATTTACAAAATTTTTTGATAAAATAAACATTATAAAACGACTAATATATTTGATTAAAAAGTTAATAAAGGGGATGATGTAGGAGAAATGGATAACATTTAAATTTTTGAAAACTAACCCATTCCACTATTTGAAATGTACTAATTTATCATAACTACTTAGAATGAATAAACATAAATATGTAAAATTATCAGACTAAGCTTATTAACGCTATCATTTGTTAAAATAAAAACATTTGCTATACTATTATTATCATTAGACACTTACAAGTGAAAGATCGTAGTAATCAAGCTTATAATAGCATAAAGAAAGATAAACATTCAAAGCAATGAAATTCCTGGAAATAAAATTAGAATCATTAATATATTACAGTGTTATTTATTTCTCAGACATACTTAGTTCATTAAGCATTTGGAAATTGCGCAATTATTTAATTTTTTGGGAAACAAATTTAATAATTACCAAATTTTCAAAGTCATTAAAACAAATTACTTTTTACTGGTTAGAATCTTTTTATAGATATCAATAGCTTCTTGATAATGTGAACGTATATAATGCATCGCGGCAAGTGATAACTGATCTTCAACAGTATCCTGCAGATTACTTCGGCTCATTACCAGCTGTTTCTCATCCTTCAATCGATATGCTAGATGGAACAGTAAGCGATTCTGGAGTGCATTCTTTGGACCTAATATGAATAAGATCAAAAAAATGTGCGATTATAATCATATCAACGGAAAACAGAATATTCTTGGATAGACAAAGATAAACAACTAAGTCTCTTCAATTTGTTGGAACTTTCTTTCTCTTATTTTCAACCATTCTCTTTATAATTAGTTATATATGAATGCCATCTCAACAAATTATAAAAAATCAAAATATTTCATATTCTTCATTTTCAATTAGCACAATAAGAATCAGCTTATTGCAAGGAAAATCTACATATTCGAATATTATTGGATGTTAATTTGAACTATCCAACTCCAAAAACCTTTTTCGGCATATTGTTTGGCTTCTGCACATAAGCCAAGGAAAAAAAAGCAACATGCGATATAAACATTCACTTCCGATGGACAATTCTTCCTAATCAGCATTCTTTCATATATCTAAAATTATCGAAAAGTTTTCAACAATTAAATTCTTCAATAAGAAGAAAACACACACACACGCAAGAAGGAATTTGATCGAATTGAAGAAAATTTTAAATTAAATATTCTATATTCCAAATAAAATATTTGATTTATTATTGGAGAAAGCAAATCAATAATCAGCGCTTTATATTCCTCTCATTTTCAAAAGTGGTTATTACAGAGTGATTGTTCTGTTTTTTATCACTCTAAGCTAACCCTCGAAAACGATTATACATTACCTAGACTTATTACTGCGCTTAAATTACATCAATTATGCTTTGTAAATACTTTTTTGTGATATCGGCTAACCGGTATTGCTTTCCGATATTCGCCAGCATGAAAAGCACAATGTCCGAGCCAAAGATCCGTCAAATCATCAATATTGCCATTTTTTGACTGGAACTGTAATTTTTTTAAACTTTGATTTCGTAATTTTGATTTTCCTTTTCCAGTAATTAATACCGGGACTTAATACTTTTTGACCGTATGTGTTGAAGACTCTATCAGACCAACTGGTCAAACAACTACAACTAATTCTCTCCCGAAATATTTGGATGACAAACTTGTTTAAATCATTATCAAAAAAAAAAAATTTCACAAGCCTGTAATAATGACATAGCACCGATATAATCACGTTTCAATAAAAACTCATTGAGCTCAGGGATTTTCCTATCCTTCAATTTCTGTTCCGATTTTTTCCAGGTTGGCCGAAGTCTGGATAACTGCAATGATCATCTAATTGGATGTGAACATCATTCCACTATTTTTATTAACTGATCAAGACATTGCACTAAGCAAGCAATTTTCCGGAGAATAATGCCTTCAGACAAAATTATCAATCTTATTATCTTTAAGGCAATAGAATTTTGAAAAGTCACCATCAGTCTTCTAAGAATTTGAGAGTGTATTTTAAAAGCTTAGCATTCGAGAAAAACTTACCATAATTTTTGCAGCAAATTTAGTTAAACGAATGAGTACTGAAGGAAACTGCTTAGTGTTATAAAAAACTACCAATATCGGTAAATTGATTGAGGCAAATTGTGGTTGCCAAGGTGATCTGGCATATTGTTTGTTTCAGTAACCGTGCTATATTCTTCTTTCTCTCTATAAAATTTGAAAGGAACATCTAATATGATGCAGGAACACTACAAAAAAAAAACTACTAATAGCGGTAAATTGATCGAGGCAAATTGTGGTTTTTAAAAAGTAGTTTTTAAAAACTACTACCAGCGGTAAATTTTGAAAGGCTCAAATCTCATCTGCAGTTCAGAGCGCTTTCATAGATTCTCCCAGTTAAAGAGAGGGCAACCGTAATTCAGATTAGAAACAACAAACCAAAAACAAATTGAAGTTAGAAAATCCACATTTTCTGGAGATGTTAATCACTCTGTAAACTGAGAATCGAAATAGAGATGATATTCAGAATGAAAAAACTTGATAACGTTATAAATTCAGATTCTATGATCTCTTATTATCCACAACAGCAGGTAATATGTGAAGACACGAAGAATTACATGAAAGAAAATTTACTGTAATATTAAATACAACACTTTTACTACGAGATCAATTCTTTTACTTCTTTAAGCTGAGCGATGTCATTGATATAAGAGCGGGCTGAGCGTCGATATTTCACCTGCAACAAAATTTTTCGATTAAAGTTGCCATTCGAATTAAATTTGATCTAACTGTTGAAATTTTTTAATGACATCAAGTCTCTTCATACTGCTTTATAAAAAAAGTTGAAACCAAAAAAACTCAAGAACTTACTTGATCTTTACTACGCCGCCTTCGTCTTACTTCATCATCTAAAGCATCACGTTGTTTTGCATGCTCTTTTTCAGCCCACAATTTCTGCATTAAGTAAGCATCATCGTCGAGATAGGGCACCTCATATTCTTTTTGATTTTGCTTATCCGGGGGAGTAAGGTGCTCTACGGCACGTTTCCTAAAGGGAATAAATTTAACTGAAATAAATAAAAATAATGGATTTACAATGGACTTGCGCGTCCTTTTACTTCAAATCAGAAGAGACCTAAAGAAAGAACAAAGACAAATATCCTAACAGAAAAATTGATATTAATGCAAAACTGATAAGTAAAGCCTGCAAAAGATGTGACAGTCCGCATAGGTGGATCAGCACCATCTCCTGTTTCAAGACGAAAATAGGCATCGTTACGTTCGTGTACCACTGATTCGAGATTGCACATGCTCTAAAAGTCATACCTCTGCTACATAAGCTTGAAGTATGCAAAATAGCGCTTGTATATTTCCAGAAGTTATCGAAAACTTGAAAAAACTGTTTAAAACAGAAATACTACCGTTTCAGAAATTGATTTTACTATTCACAATATTTACATAAATAGTTAAGAATTCCATCAAAACCATAAAACAACCTCAGCAACTTTCTCAATTCGATCCGGATTGGGCATACGGCGCGCTTTCTGGACACATGCTTCCTGCATTGTCAGCAACATATTGCGTTCCTTCAATAGTATGTACCTAAATAACAAGAAATTTGCTGATTTTTTCATAAACTAATACTAAATTGATCTGTTGTCTAAAAAGCAGAAAATAATCATAGTTAAACAACGTGATGAAAAATCTCAACTTCTTACCATAATTTATGAAGGTCGGTGTTTGATTTTAATCTTAGTTCATCCTTATTCCATGGACGGCCAGGCTTGTTCTTTTCATCAAGTTCATCTTTACCATAATTTGCCGGATCATCGAAGAATTCGCGTAGACCTTCCGGAATATTTGTATTTAGCTTCTTAATGCAAAAAGTTACCATAGGCTTGCTTACACTGCTGGAAAAAAGAAATTCAAATGTTATAACTTTTCTTTATAAGTAAATTATCTGGTAGATTTCAATATTCAAAACGGAAAGGGAGGAAAAGAAAGCAGTATAGTTCTTGTAATGTCAATTCCTTGATTCTACCACAATAAACTGAACATAATAGAATTAAACCAAATCACAATTATTAGACCACAGTATTGACGGATACTGAAATGTTGGAAGGTAATCGAAAACCGGAAAGCGATTTGACAAGACATCAGTCCAGAAATAGATTCAAAATGATTCTTTTTGCAAAATCTGCGCAATCATTCTTTTTTGCTTTTTTTTTGGAAAAAATAAACACTTACAAGCCATGGCGAAGTTGCTTCAAAGCAAACATTAGGCTCAGTTTACTCCCACGTCCATTATATCATAGTTCTTCCGTACTTTTTTTTATTTATTATTGCAGCAAATTTCCGAATCTCAGAACGACGGTTCGACAAATAACATGCAAAATGAAGAGAGTTAAGCTCTGCACGAATCAGAAAAAACCAAGACTTATCAGAAGTGGAAAAAATCGATAAGATCGTATCAGAATTAAATTATTGAGAAATCTCTTAGTTCTTCCCCAGTCTGTAACCTGACCTTTCTAGCTGCTAGTAGCGGTAGGACCAGTATTCGTGGCAGGTATTAGTTCAAGATGCTAACACGTTTTTGTGGAATACAAATGAAATTAGTTTATCGTTTTAGGGGGCTAGGGCTCTAACTTAAAATTTCGAAGTTTAATTTAAAAAATGCCACTACAGATAACAACGGAAAGAAGTGCCGGGTAGAGAGGGTCGGTGTGAGTGAGGTATGACAGAGCGGTATATGCCGAGCATCTTTCCGGAGTGTGACAATCTGAAACAGGTATATAGCTTCCTTTTTCTACATTTCTGTAATTCTAGTAAGAATGATATATTAAGCATGTATTCCTTAGTGTTTCATCGAATGCAACAATCACTACTCGCATATGTGCATGCAGTTCAGTATCCATAAAATTTATTCTAGAGTACTAAATGGTTAGTGGTTGATGAATGGAGAGACACTTTTACAGGTTCATTTGGGATAGCTGCACTGAATAGTTGAGGGAGTGCACTATTTTCATTAAAGAATCAGTGTGTTATAAAATTAAATATAACTCACATTCACTTATTCGGAAGATTCAAAATTCATTTTGTGTTTAATCATTTCCAATTGTCGAAAAATAAGATGCTAACGATTATAGTAACCATATTGTGCTTTGATAACCATGCTACGGTCCAGCTTATTATGTCCCTTCAATTTATATCTGTTGTTATGAAAATGATTATTATGAACATTGATAATGATTCTTATTGAACTCTTGGTAACTCGAAGAGTGATAACAGTAATGATGCCAATTAATGGAAGTCAATATTTTCTGACCTTTCATCAGCAATATTTTTGTAGACATACGACAAGTGTTTCTCAGATTTCTTCGAAAAATTTATCAGTACTGAAACATCAGCAATTTCAAACCCCTGTGGTCGTTTACACGAGACATATCGACATTGCATTGAAAAGGTAATTTCTTTCTTATTACTCATATGAAAAGTTTTCTGCGTTAATCAAGATTCCTCCTCGTACATTGGGATTTAACTGATAATTATGATAACAGAATCTTGAAACGAATAAAATTTACGACATTGATTTGAACGAACTTCGAAAAGACGTGCTGAATACAAAAGACGATTTACTGAAGGATTCACAAACTGCTGATAAATAGATCAAATACAGTTCTACACATTTCTTCACATTTAGTAAGTCTTCAGATATCGTTTTCAAGTATCATGTACGTTCATTCTGACTACTTTTCAAAGAAACTACTTTATCAAAATTTCCTTCTTCCAACATTGCTTAGGTCTTCTGAAATTATAGTTGCATTTATCTATTCGTTGTTGATTTCTGAGTGTTTTTTTATTATGATGAAAGCTGGTTTGTCACGAACGCTATTTTAGAATTGAAATCAAACTTGATGGACCCACCTTTGATGGGATCGATGTCAAACGCCTCAGTTTTGCAAGAAACAGCAACCGACACACGTTACAATCAGTTGGAACAAACTTTGGAAAATTTCCAGGTCTTCACTTTGCTCATTCATTCTTACATATAGAAAACATCGTTTGTAAAATCAACATATTTTGCTTTTTAGGAGAATGCACGACAAATGGGAATTATTGCGAGTGATTTTACAACTCGAAGTCAGGAACCATTAAATCAAAAAATTCATACTCTTATATCTGGCCTTCACGTAAGGAACTTTTTTCTGATATAAAATGAAATTATTAAAACATTTTCAAATTCGTGTTCCGGAATTAACTTTCTAAGCGGACCTTTTAAAATCGAATTTTGCTTAGGAAAAAAGACGAATAGAATTTTTGCTTAGGAGTTGGACCATTTAAAGAACCAATTTATGGATGTTAAAATACCTCTTGAATTGCTCGAATATCTGGATCAGGGGAAAAACCCGCAACTCTATACTAAAGAATGTTTGGAGCGGACGTTAAATAAGAATAAAGAGGTAATGAGTTTTGATTTCTAAACGCTTTTGTGTTTTGATTTACGAGCCAAAACTGCAATTGAGGAACTATTTTTTATGTGTATTACATTCCAGATGAACGGCAAAATTGAGATGTACAAGAAGTTTCGTGCAATGCTGCTGAAAGAACTCGGTGAAGAAATGCCGAATGATATGGTTTTATACCGAAACTTACGAGACAGAAAAGATCCTTCTCCCCAGCATGAAAATTATAACGAAGATGCTAGCGATTGATTTTTAAATCTAAATTCTATACCAATCTTTGTTGTGTTCAGTTCTCATTAGTAACAATTCGTGTGAAAAGATTTCGACATCTTTATCCAAGAAAAAACTTGAGGAAGGGAAAGAAATATTTTATGTTCAGTTCTTTCAAAATTTTCAACTTAATATTCATTATAATGATACATATTTGTAACAGCGTGTGTTTTTTTATTTGTATAAAGGAAAGTTTCGTGAAGATGTAAACAAGCTGCTCCATGCAGTTAGCTATGTCTTCTTTTACAGAATAAGAAGTGTTAATTGAGTTGCAGTGCGTGGCACTGATGTTTTTATTGTCCTTAAATTTCGAATATCTTAAAAAATTTCGGCGCTTTCACACGATTTGTTTTCTCCTTCTAATTATTGGAATTAGTATTATGCCGTGTGTTCTGCCGAGCATCAAATAAATATTCCATTGCAATTGTTTCTTTTTCTTTTATGATATCAGTTTTGCTAGAAGCTATATATCGCAAGAAATGGTCATTATTTTTGAAAGGCGGAGTTCAATAAGTAAAGTTTCAATGCGTGCCTTTCAATAAAAAGGATTGTATAGTGGGCTGTGAGTAAACTATTTGTTTTTAATAAACCGTTCATTTGAAGGTGTCGAATGTTTACTCTGCACTTTTTGAGCATATTTTTGTCGAGGTTGTAGAAAATTCGCTATGTCAGTTTTCTTACGTGGCATGCAGCCACAGAATGGCTTTACCGCCAAAACGATACGATTTGTTGAGCATTGCAAAGGGCTGCAAGTTGGATGGACACATAATAAACTTAGAAGTCAAGGCGTTGAAGAATTTGTAGAGGAGTATTTGCCGTGGATAAGGTTTGACACTATGTTGATCACATTTTATCTCCACAGAGCAGGTCGAAATATTTTCAGTCTTTTTTTTCGCTTGAACATTCAAGCTCTTCAAGTCTCTTCCGAACTTTCAAATATTTAGTTCTGAAATAAATCACATTCCCCTTTATCAATATGTTCCAAATCATAGTCCTCAGATGGTCATGTATCCCACGAAATATGTGGCTTATTCGAACATCTTGGCTTATAATTGTCTTTTTGTGTCATGAATGACAAGAAAATAGCAGTATGAATTTTTTTCTAACGATTACGCAACAATTTTCAAAAAATTCTGATAATTTGCATATTTTTGCATGAATTTTTCTCTTTTTTGCAGAAAAAATAATCCACATATTGAAATAAGATTATATCGAACTCATGTTAATTGCGACCCATTTGTAATTGGAGTGTAAGTTTTGTTTTATTGCGTTAAAGCTTTATGATGTTTATGTTGGATAGAGATTCCGTTGCACATTATTACATATTTACCTCTGCATGATTTCGAAGAAAAAAGTCTGGCGGAAATTTTTTGATTTGAAATTGTAGTTACATTTATTTAAATAAATTAGTATTCAGATATGAACACTGTCGCGTGAGAAAACGACGATGTGATTGGAAGACCAAGCATCAAGTGTTATCATTTGTAGAAGAAATGGCCCTCGGTGGAGACTACGTTAAAGGTCAGTTTTGAAAACCTTAAACTGTAGTTCTTTGATTTTCCAAATTGGTTTCACTTTCTATTATTTCAAAGTCAACTTATTTCTAGTTCAATAATTTTCAGGCCGGAAGCGAGGAGTGAAAACGATCCTACCACGTGGCTTACAACTGTGGAGTACGGAAACAATTGGGCATGATGTATTTAAAGTTTATAGTAAATGGAAAGGAGATGCTGTGGATCCCATGGAAATAACCAGTGCTTCTCATCCATATTTTATACATAGGAAGCATGCTTAGAAATAATAACTATGTCTACGGTTAACTCGGAAGCCGAAGTTATTCATTTCTGTTCAAATGAACCATCAGATCCGCTCATTTCAGCAAAGAAACGAAGAGAACAGAAGATGTCTAGATCTAAAAATTTCTGTTTACTTTAATATTTACTTGTGTGAGAACTTACCACAACTTTTTAGCTACATAATCTATGGAAAGTTTTGTTAACATGAATTTAGTTTTATTTGGACTCTACATCGGAAATTTATATAATACTAAAAAAACTTCGATACCACTATTAGCTTTTTTATGATTTAATACAAAAAATATTATTGCAGCGCTGATTGTTAATAGTTTTTGAATTTGATGCTTGTATGACTCAGAAATAAAGAATCAGTTTTCATTTTCTGTGCATAATCTGCACCTTCATTTCATGCGTCACTTGTATCCTTTATCTTGATGGCAGTGCGCCTCTCTTTACAGATTTGAAATATGAAGAATAAGTAGTTTCTGTGAATAGTAAATAGTTGCTGAAGTATCTGCAAGAGGAAGAAAAAAGTGAAATAAACTTGGTGACTATTAGATTTACCAGTTTCGAATTTTTGATATCATCCATGTTTCAGCTAAGATATTTCCTGGACTTCATAAATTCCCAACTTCATTATCATTTATGGACAAAATCGAAAAATTGAAGGAATCGAAAGTCGAAAAGGTATTAATTTTTCGTGTTGAAGTGTTGTACACAAGTTATAATGTAAGCGCGCTAGTGGCTTCTGAGCAGTAGTTCATTTTGAATTGGATTTCTCCTGGCAGCAAAAGATATTCGCCTGCAAAAATGTTGCTAAGAAGTAAACAAGCTTGCATGCCATATTTCCAGAAGTTGGAGGCGAACCTGGCAATATTTTATAAGTACTTTTGAATGATTCCAGTTTAATATGTTGCCAGCTTTAGCACCCCAATATAGTTAGCATTGAATATGTATTAGAAGCTGCGAGCTTCTACTGTCACGAACCGTTACAGAGCAGATGAAATCCTTGGTTTGATCTCTTGTTTTTTGAATTAGTCACATCATAACAAAATTGTTACTGCGAACTGCTATATTTCAGACTGTATGTGGTGAAGTAGATCCTAATAATGTGGACGGAGGAAGAAGTACATCAGTTTCACAGAATGAACATGATGAAATTATTGCTACGGAGAAAGTCCTAAATGCAATGCTATTCTATCGGCGTTATGGAATTACCAGGATTCACATGAGCATCTCCTCATTTCAGTTGGTTTTCCAGTTTTTAGAAAAACATTAGTTCGCCATAATTTTTCGTAGTTCCTTGATAATTATTATCTTTTTTTTTGACTTGTGGAGAGCAAAATATTGTTGCTGATATGCATAACATCGAATCAAAGCACTTCATTTTAATTAACCGCCTTTATTTTTATTATGAACTGGTTAAAACTACACCCATTAAAATCAATATTTTTTTTAAATCAGTATCAAAGAGAAAAGTGCCAGTGATAAAATTTATCAGGAATAAATTGTTTATAGGAAGGATCCTCATTTTGCAGTTTTAAGAGTTTTTCACATTTTCGTTTTTGCTGTAATTTTCTTTAGAAAACTCTCAGAAGAGCAACAGGCAGCGCTTTCTCCAGCTTATCAGTACCACCTTGTTAAAATGAAAGAATGTATTATTCACAACCAAAAGTAATTTCGTATATTCGTCTTTAATCTTCTCGAGCAGTTAGCATATTTCATGCTTGAAATTTATTTTTCAATTTCGTCTTTTTTTTTAATGATTGCTAAGTAATTTAATTTCTATATTTAGTCGACAGTTTTAAAAATCTCTAGTATTATTAAACGATATAATGATTTTGCGATGATTATTTATAGGGTGTTGAAAGAGATAATAGAATGCGGAGTAAACATGTTTGGAGATGATTTTGCTCTGCGTGCTGCTGCTCAGATGACCCAGTTAAGACCATCCAGTGATCATTATATGTCGAAAGTGAGAAGTACCCTTAAACAAATTATGAGGGATTGGAGTAGTGAAGGTGTGGTTGGTATTACCCATTAGTAACTGAATTAAATAGCAAAGTTTCCGAATAATTTTTTTACATTTTCTATTTCTTCAAAATTTAATTATTCCTTTAATAAGCCATTAAATTAGAAATTTGATGTAAAAGTGCATATATATATATATTGAATAGAATTTTCAGTGAATTTAAAATACTAACAAATTAGTTAGTACTTTAGATTATCAATGATTAAATAATCAGCGCTAATTTACGATAGCTGATTGATTTTGCTGGGATTTGGAGCTCTGAATTTTTTAATGAAGTTCAGAAAGTTTTTGTTTGCCTTTAATTAGATTCGGTGTTGTATCATTTTTGATAAGTTCAGCACGTATAGGTTGAACTTTTGATTGAATTTACAGCTCGGTTCATTGCATTTTCATAGTTGGATTAAACTTAGTTTTGTTTGAAGGTGAAGCGGAACGGGAAAGTTGTTACAGCAGTACGATGCAAATTTTATGTGAACGTTTTCCGGACAAAGAAAGTCGGTCAGCCATTGGAGTTCTGATTCCAGGCGCTGGGCTGGGAAGACTAGTTTGGGAGCTTGTTACCGAAGGATTCTCCGTCCAAGGAAATGAATTTTCTATTTTAATGTTGCTCACATCAAATTTTATCCTGAACAAATGCAAACAGGTATTTTTGGTTAATGTACAAAATGAAAAAGTTTTTCTTGTTTTATTATGGTATATGTTGATTGCTCCTGAAATTAATACTTGCCAACTTACATCTGAGCTGAAGTGAACATTTTGGTATTTATACATATCTATTTCACAGTGTTCTTTGAAATGATTTTTGTAGTTATTGCATTCTGTTTTCCAGGCGAACGAATATAAGATTTATCCTTTCGTATTGGATACATGCAATAATTGGTCATACGGAGATCAATTAAGAGCAATACGGTTTCCAGATGTGTGCCCTGTTATGCCTGACGACGTAAATTGATTTATGTTTCGAATTTTGATTTTATAAATTAATATGATTTAGTGAATTATGCGCTGTAAACTCTCATTCATTTCTCTTCACTTTGATGAATATATTACAAAGAGCAGTAGGATTAATAAAATATTTAAGCTCCTTTATCATTTAAGAAATTTTGGTTACTTCATTTTCTTTTTGTTAGAAACCGAATAATTTTTCAATGTGTGCGGGTGATTTCCTGGAAGCAACGAGAAGCGATACAGAGCGATGGGATGTTGTTGTAACGATTTTTTTTATCGATACTGCAATCAATGTGCTCGATTATATTGATACGATTCATAAGTAACATGCTTTTCCACTTTTAAATGACGTGTTATTTAAAAAGTGCAAGTATTAATTTTTTTTTAAAATTTCAGCTTATCATGCTTGCATTAAAGTTGTTGCTTTTTCGGTAATTGAGATAATCGATTTATTTATTGATTTATTGCGATAATTTAAGGATATTGAAAAAAGGTGGCTTGTGGATCAATTTCGGGCCGCTTACCTTTCATTTCGCTGAAGGAGAAGCTGAGGGCGCTATCGAACTACCATATGATTCAATTATTCAATATATTACGAAGAAAAATTTTAAGTAATGGTCCAGTTTATTTTTGTACAAGCATTTAAATTTTATTTAATTGCACGGAATCGAGAGCTGTTAGAAATGAAATAAAATCTTGGTTTCAGGTTTGAACGCGATGAAGGGGCCGACAGATCCAATCCTGCATTATATGCTTGTAATCAGAAATCGATGTTACGTTATCAATATAATTGTGGATTCTTCGTGTGCACAAAATTGTAGCTTTATATGAGAATTTTGAAATTAAATTAAAAATCCTTGCCTTGAATTGCTTTTCGAGGTTAAACTCAACGTTTTAAAATGATGTAAATCGCTCTGTTTTAGTCAGTTAAATTAATTAATGTCATCACAATGATGCACATTTCATAAAATTAGATATTGATGTTAAAGAGGTGATATCGAATAACTGTTACGGCTGTTTTAAGCATTTTCTTTGGAAATATTTTTCTGTGAAAATGGAAATCACAGATTCTGCATATGCATAAAGAAGTGGATAGCAATTCCTTTTCTTAAAATGTATTCCTTCAGTATTTGTAAGAAATATATTTTTTTGTCAATTGTTACAATTAATATATTTTTTTCAATTTTTTCATAGCGAAAAGTCTTTTCCTCATAAAATCTTATGTTCTGGACCTGCAGTTAAACAAAATAGTCTGTATACTTTTATTTTCATTAATGTGAAAATAGAGACATGAAGTTAGGTGTGCTTTTTAACTGGTATTTTATTAACAGTAGTCGCGGTTTAATCATTGTCATTTGATCATTGAATAGTTCCACAAAGAAAGATAACGTTTCGATCGGTGGTTGTGTTCAGTATTTAAAAGAATCGTTGGATTTTTGAGGTTTTCTTTCGGAGTGAATGAATACCATCTATTGTATCAGCGAACTTCCATATAAGGAATCTAATGTTCGTTTTAAATTCTTCAGCTTTTTATTTTGGTTTCATATTCATCACAAACCATTTAATAAAATGTAAGTATGCAAGATTTCAATCCAAAAATGGTAACTTTAGAGATGGCTCATTTCGTCACTAAGTCATTCATGCTACCAGAAAATTTTATAAGATTAATTTTTGAATAATTGTTGAATATTTTTGGTTTATAGTTGCGAAATAGTGTACTTTCTCTTACCTCAATACCATAAATTTAATGTTAGTTCGAAATGCATCATTCAATGATTAAATATGAAATGCAACAACAAATATATTTTTGTACTGCAAAATGAGAAGTAAAGTAAGATCCTAAAAGATAAAATTCCAAAAATTATATGTTATCTAGTGAAAATCTTTCGGATGATCATTTGGAAAGAATTAAATATTGTTTTATGTTGCAGGCAACTGTACTTGACAATGATTTTACCGAGAAATACATGTGCATCGGATCGTAAGTTTTCATGTTTCACAGAACTTCTGAAATCTCATTTTACAAATCCTGAAGTTCCAGAACTGTGATACGTTGAGTATTCTGTGTTTTCGAATATTGGATTCGTAAACTTGTATTATTAACTTATCTAGAAATTAGAATTTTATAGGCTGCAGTAATCCATTAAGTTTCGATATAAAGAAGTAGATTGATTGAAAAGTCAGTATATTCAGCTTTAAGTAGGCTGTATTTATTTTCATTTTTGAATCCTTTAACTGACGCGGTATTTTCATGTTTTTAATTTTTCGACTGAGTGTTTAATTTTTAGATTGATAAAAATTTTAGAAGTATTGTAGATATAAATCTTCTCTGTAACACCTACCACATAATAAAGATTCGATTTTTTTGATTACAGACCAGGAGCCGTGTCAGTTGTGGAAAGTGAAAAGTATTCGGCAGCCCCACGAAATATTAAAACAAATCGACACTATCCTCATATAATACGATGGCAACGTCTTAACGATACCTCTGGTAGTCACATCATTTGCGCGGTAACTATTTCTAAAATCTTAGAGTCCGCGTGGAATTTTGATCATTTTTTCTATCTCCGAAAGTTAGAGAGAATTTCCATTTCTTTTTTCAGTCCACACAATTTTTCGATATCTTTGTTGTGAACTCTGATTACATGAGTCTACTCGGTTCCACTTGTGCTCATTCCTTCAATTTGACCGATGTTGATTGGTGTCCATATGATTCAAATGCTCTGGTATGTATTATTCTTTTAGAAGTTTGTTATTTTGGCTTATGTGTATCTTTTATATAAAGTTTCTTATTATTACATTCAGCTATCATGTTCAGTCGACGATGCAGTGAAATGTTGGGATTTGCGGGATCTACGATGTCCTTCTCTACAAATTCAAGTCATTGGTGGAGCAGAGCAAACGAAGTGGGCTCCATTGTCATTTAATTTGTTGTGTACTTCCCATGGTACTGATCTACGACTATGGGATAAACGGGTAGGTTGAAGAATTAAACATGTTAATTTACGAATGTAAATTTGATTTGAGTTGCAAAATAGCAAAGATTTTCGATTTTACATCAGCTTTTTTAGCACTTTATCAAATTCATTCATTGCTAGACATGAAGATAAAGAAAGATCTTTTTACTTCTGCTGATCAGATGTGTAAAGAAAGATCTTTTTATTTCTGCTGATCAGATGTGCTTCCATCATTTTATCAAAATTGCGTGACTCGAATGACCGTAACTAGCTCACTTGAACAAAGCTATCTTGCAACATAGTCGCTAGATTAAAAAATAAAAATATCACTTTAATGGTGATTCCTACTTACCCTCGTCAATAAAATGATTTCATTATTCGCTTTTAAAGAAAAGGAGGAAAAAAGCGGAACAAAATATTGCTAAAAAGGAGAAAAGAAAAAGAAAATTCTATCGAAAATAGAAAAATTTTTTATAGAATGTGAGCTTACCCTTGCAAACGGTGCCAGCCCATATACAAAAAATTTCTTGTATTATGTGGCACCCCACAACTGCGGCATGTTTTTTAACTGCTGGCCTGGACGGCTATATCAAAGTAATTTTTTATCACTTTTTTTGAAACCTTTAATTGTAGCTTTATTTAAATTAAAATTTGTTTAGACATTAAGTCCTCTTAATTATTGTTTTTTAAGATTCTTTCTATCTAATTTCTATTCAAATCTAGCAAATCATGCAGAAAATTGAATGATCTAGTGCTGCAACTAATAAATAGATATTTGGTTAGAATGCGAGTATCTGTTTATTTTGAGCGCCTTATAATCTCATGTCTTGTAATTGAGATGTGGAATAGCAGCAATCTAACGAAACCGCGACACTCATTAGGAATGCTACCAGCTCCAATTTGGAAAATTAAGTTTTCGGTAAGAAAATTGAATTCCTTGAAGATATTTATAAAAGCAAATTGGATTGAGAGAATTGCTTTAGCTTTTGCATTCTGAAATGTGAATGTGTAAACAATTTTGCTTTTTAATTCTTCCGTGTTTATCGTTTCTTGATCGTTAAATTTTGCCCATAAATATATTTGAATTAATTTAAATGTGTTCCATATATAGAATGATGGAAATGAATTTGCATCAATACCACTGCCGATGTATGGACAAATAGAGGAGAGTTGTGCGTTAAGCTTATGGAAAACCAGCACTCTTGAGATCATTCAAGTAATTGGGGTTAGTATTAAAACTTTTCTAAAATAGTTCTTGCTAACTAGACAATTGTTTAGTTGTTTTTTTCTGTCTTCATTACTGAATCCATTTTTGTCCAATTAATGCACGATGTAAATGCTCATCAAGTTTCCATAGTTTTTAGTGTGAAGATGATGTCCTGCTTGATCTGTGCTGGCAAAGGTTTCGCATGCAGAGACAAACTTACAGTTGCTTATATACAGCATCCAGATATGGCAAATTACGGAAATACAATCTACCATTGTTCGAAGATCTAGTAATTATTAAAATTTTCAATTTTCCTAGATATCATTTCCATTTCTACATTGATGGAAAATAATGGTTTTCTCAGTGATAAAAAAGGCAAAAAAACGACTTTCCAGTATTGCAGAATTACCAATTATAACATAATGCTAAAGGAATAGCAGAACTATATACTATTTTATGATTTTGTTATAGTCTGAAGGGAAGAGTTTCTCTTCAAAAATTGGTGAAAGTGCCGAAAATGCATTTGTTCTTGAGGAAGAAATAAAGGAATCGAAAACAAAGACACGGGCTGCATTAGCAAATACCAGTATGTTAAATACTATTTTTTGTGAAGATATGTTTGTTTACTTCTCGCTGTCTCTGTTATACTACGCATTCGAACACAAAGGAAAGTGTAGGTGATATATTAGTCATCGTATTTTTTTACGGCTCTCTAATTACAGTCATAAACTTTGACTGGAATACTGGAACATTGTACAGATACTAATTGTAGGTGATCCAGAAATCAATAAGATTAGGATTGTTAAATTTATTTTGCAGATGAAATCAGCAATCTCAATAAACGGCCGTTAATGATATATAAAGTGGAAATTATTGAAAACGGACTCTGTTTAACGGTGCCCAGACAAGTAGATGTTCTTATAGCTGAGTTGGTTCCTTTAAGACGCATGTACAATGAAGATTTAATTGTTGAACAAGTAAGTAATTTACCAGTTTTTCCGGAATTTCGAACTCTTCATAATATAATATCTGATTTTTTTCTGTTGTTGTAGATTTCATTAATTTTTCCTTTCTCAATTTAGTTGGATGGCAACCACAGTATAATAACGTGGAGCAAAAATGCTGCTTTAAAATTTCGAATTAAAACTGCGTTGTTATTGGAGAGGAGAATGGAAGGATTCACACATATAATTATCGAGATTATGAATGAAGAAAATTATTTATCAGTTAATGAAGTTGAAACAATTCTCAAGGTAAAAAAATATAATTTTTCTCTCCTTATAAAAATATGAATATGAGTTTTTGTGAGTTGATTTTTGAGTACTTAATTGATTTGGAGAAAATTCATTAATGAACATAATCTTATCTTTTTCAGAAGTTATTAGATGAAACGGCAAGCATAGATATATCTTTAGAGAAGGAACCAATTTTGCCAGTTATCGTACAAAATTTGCTTAAAATAGTAACTTCGGTGGAGGTATGTCTTTCTTTCTACGAAACTTCATATGTAAAAGATCGGCATTTTCGTTATATTAATACGTAACAATAGGTATTTTTTTTCCATACTTGTTAAATTCAGTTTGTTAGAAAATTAAAAAGGAATGAAAAATGTAAAATATAATCAACCTTTAAAATAATATCTTCTTGTTTGTCTTACATTTTTAACCCTATATTTATAAGATCTTTGCTCCTCGACCGGTTGATATCCTACAACAGCCGGAAAATATTGCCCATTTTTGTGAAAGTGCTTCAAGTGAAATTGGTCTACATAGTGTCACGCTGGAAACCATCTCCGCTGCCCCACCAAAAAGGTAAGTCTTGCCAAATAATTATAAACTCATTAATCTACTAATCTTTCATTTGATCTTTTAAACTTATTTATAGAACTTACTAATCTTGTTAATCTTTGAATAATTTTGCATCACTTCTATCCAAATATTAATATATGCGGAGAAGAGAAAAGTTGTCATTTGGCTCAGAAGCTGTGTGAATTTTTTCCAAATTAATGAAATACGTTATTCACTTTTCAGTACGGTATCATCACCATTACTTTCAACCTCATACGACCGTTGGATACCATCTCCTCGTACATGTGGAGCACGTTTTAATGGCTCCGGTGTGTTCTTTTTTAGAGGCATAAAATCTTTTTAGTCCTATATTCTTATGGAAGTTGTATTTTTAGAATTCCAGCTCTGACCAAAAAAAATGAAAGTTTTGCTATTGGCAGCAGAATTTGTTATTAATATAATTTTGAAGGATTTCTGGTTATCTTCGGTCGGAACGAACTAGCGATGCGACGTATGCAATCGAGTAAAAGTTCCTTTCAGGACGAATCACTCTGGCTTTCAGCGGAACGGATTACGCAATCTTTGAAAGGCACTTCCTCAAAGGTTCTTTTATTTTCGGAATTTTCTTTCCAGAGCTTTTCATTTCATACATCATTTGAAATCATTTTAGAAAAGTCCATTCAATTTACTGGATGATGGGCAAAATGAAGTTGACGATAGACAAGTTAGTAGTACGCCACGTTCACTCGATGAATACAAGCATGAGCTGCTTCTATGTGAGTTTACTGGCTGTGAGTTTACGGGCTATATTTTTCATATATTTTTTATATATTTTTCATATATTCATATATTTTATTAAACCATCGTAGAATTCTTCTGAATTGTTATCAGCTATGTGAGAAAATAAGTAATATTACGTATATTTATGTAGTAATATATTACGGAATAATTGTAGAATCTAGAGTAAATATTTAGATTTGTAAAACCTATTAATTCTTCGAACTTGAAGTTTTTTTAAATTGCTGTAGATCATTAATAATTCATTAAGCCAGTTTTGAAAATAAATTGCAGCTATGGAAGATATGCATACTCGTTTACAAAATTTTTGTAGTCACGAAAAATGCAATTCGCCACTGTGCCAATCGATCTCTGGTACCCCTTTTTCCCGTAACATGACTTTATCTCATCAAAAATTTGATATTTCAAGCAATGGAGCATCTTCACTACTAGGAATGCGTACAAGTAATGTATGTCGCAATGTTTTTAAAAACAAATAACAAGGCATTCAAATAAGATATAGCAAATTATGATTCAATAAATAACTCGGATAAAGTTATACTTTTCAGTCGTTAGCAATGTTGAGCAATATATATAGTAACAGTACCCAAATTGTTCGACCATATCATCGTCGAGGGAATTCAGGAACAAATATTCTCGCTGATGGTAATTTTGATCATTTTATTTTGGTATCCTTTGTTTTTTTAAGTACCTCATATGTTTATTTGCGGTGTTTGTCGTATATCCTCATCTTGATTATTTTTATATTGATTTAAAGTTTAATTTTTTCGAATTTATTTCGTTTTAATTCAATGATTTAATCTATACTTTAGTATTTTTCGTATTGTAGATCATCATCATCTAGACGGCTTTGCTCCAATATCCGTGGTTGTTATTTACGATGTATCAGTGCTCATGTCAGTTAGCAAAAATCTTGCTCGTAAATACCGGTTGGTTCTTTCGCTTTTACTGTTCTTTTATTTGTCGTTAAATAATAATTTTGAAAATTTCTTCAGCATGATGCACTTGCAGTTCCACCACTTCAAAAAAATTGCGTAAGATTATCTTAGGTTGATGTAAGAATATTTTGACTATGGCTGATTGAGTTCATTCACTTATATCAAGGTCCTTTTTTATTAGGCTTATTGGTGCCAATGCATTGGAATTGTGTTTATGGAATCAAAAAGTAGTAAAGGAAGCAGGCCGTAAGGATTTGGAAAACATATGGCAAATCGTTGAGCTTTGTGTACGAATGGGAAAATCAAGGTTAAATTCTTCTCTGCTTTTTTCAAATATGTATATTTGGAGCGTTAGATTTTAATAAATCTATGTGGTTTTCTTTTGTTGTTTTACCTCTTGTCTTTAATTAATGGGAACGTTTCTAGAAATAATCATGTTTTTCTCAAAGTTTGTAACTAACCTCACTTCTTTTTCTTTATTTAGCAACATTATTTTATTTTGAATTCATTTGACAATTTCTTTCTGTTTGCTTTTATCCAGTTTTTGATCTTTAAGCTTTCTGTTTTCTTTTCTATTCATATTTGTTTTTTTCTTCCCAGTTTCTTGCAATGCTTTTTCTTTTGATTATTGTCAACATGTTGAATTCTCTCAAACAGACCTCTCACAAGATAAACAATTAGGCTATGTGAACTGTAGAACAGTATAATTAAATCCTTTCCTATAATGTCCTATAATCTGAGAAATAGTCGATGCAAATACTTCTTGTTTTAGTTATCATCCTCGATAAATATTTTTAGTTGGCGTAAACGTTGTTTCTTTGATGAAAACAAAACATTAACTAATGTGCTAGATTCCGATTCATCGGAAGAAAGTATGTCGGAAGAAGATAGTATGGCTGTGGCAGTGCATCCATTCGGACGTTCACTAATTAATAATCTGTAAATTTTTCGTTGCATCCTTCAAATTTTTCTTCAAAATTAAGATTTGGAAAAATTATTATTCAAAATCTTTAATTTTTTCAATTTAGGCATGTTTTCAAAGGAATTTCTAAAAATTGTTTTAGCCTTAACATTTCAGATTGGATTATTTTGCGCGTATCAATAATTACCAGACTGCTGCAGTGATAATTTGCGTCTTAGGTTTGAGAAATGAACGGTGTTTTGAAATAGTCGACGGTAGAATGGAATCATCAACTACCACAAAGTGTGCTGTTCATCATGAACATTCACTTAGTACTTGTGGCACTAGTTTTGTGAGTTCCAAGTATACCTGCTTTTGTTTAGAGTCTCTGGTGGCAGGAAGATGAAAAGTGTAAGATAATATGCTGACGCTCTTATCTGAACTAGGATTTTAAAAATTAAGGTTCCACAAATATATAAGAAGTCTAATTTGGTTCTGGAGATCGAAGGAGTATTTTTCCTCAATGTTTCAATTATTTTTTCTAAATTTATGCTGTGGAGTCGGTAGTAACTGTAGTAATATCAGTGAAGTTTCGCTTGGCACTTATAAGCCGATGCATAAGAAACTGTTGAAGTTTTAAAACTCCTAAAAATTTTTAAAGGCTGTTCCTTAATTTTATCAATGTTTCTTCTGAATTAATTTACATTCTATGAGAAACTGTTTGTTTTCGCAGTCCTGTAAAATCCATAAAATGTATCCATTCTAGGATTAGGACAGAGAAGGGAAATTTTTCAAAAAGTGATAAAACTGATAATGCTATATTATTATTATTGAAGTGAAGTTTTGGGTTATGAGAGGCCGAGTGCCCAGACAGCGTTTTTCTTAACTTTTATTTTTATTGATTGCTATTATTTTTTGCAATTGTTGCCGTGATTATTGTTGATTGTTGTCATTTTGGCATAGCTTTTCCAGTTTCAGCAGGTTGTGAATGTTTCAAGATCTTTTCAAATCACTTTTTATTATTTACCAGTTTTTTTAATCTGCTTTAACATTCTCGTACCACTGAGAATTCAACGTCTAAATTTTGTTTTAAAATAATTCTTTAGTTGCAGGACAGTTCGGTATACGGCAAGATGAATGCGAATAAATTAGGCTTGGATTCTCAGTTGTTACAAGAAGAAGAAGAAAAGTAATTTGTTATAATTTTTCCTAGATAAAAATAATTTGTTGAAAGCTTAACTGCTTGCTTAACTGGTTTCCAAAATGACTGTAATGACTGAAGATAGAAAGCTTATATTAGAAGTGCATTATTATGGTCACTTTATAAAATCTCCAGAAAAGAAAGCTTTCGACATTGATTTTGACAAGTTTTTTCTCATTATGTAGTATAACTTCGAAGTTTCCAACAATTTTTTTAGTTTTCATTACTATTCTAATTCCCCTGTTTCTTTTGCATATATGCTCTCATTTTAGACCAGATATGAGAGAACAGTCGTCATTAACAGCTCCTGCTTCAAAGACCGCTTCAAAATTTTCTTTATTTCAAAACGCCTTAATTGGTCATCGTTCAATACAGACTCTCAAAATAGGTTTGGTCAATGTTATTGTTGTTTCTACTGGTTTAATTCCATTGACACATAATCCATTTTTATTAATATAAGGGTGTGTTGATTATTTATTAATATGAAGGTAGCAAAGACTGCAAACTAGCGAAAATAAAGCCTATTTATTACATCGCTTCAAGTTTTTTATTTGAGAAATATGGAATCTTCAATTTGAGAATTTAAATTTCAGATTTGTAAGAATTCGAGTTTGTTTGCTTATGCTCTTCGAAATCAGTACTCTAAATAACTGTGTGGAGATTGACTGCTTTTATTTTAGTTTTGTTTTATAGAACAAGACAGCAGAACATCGCGTAGCCGTCGTACATCTGACATATCCATGATTTCAAATATCGAGCAGCCTCAGCAAGATCTTGCTTGGAGTATTACGGAAAACAAATCAAATTTGTACAGGTTTGTGTCAATATGAAAATTTCTGGAAATTATGTTTATTGCCACAATTTTACTGCAGCAAGGTTCGAGAGCATTGAAGTAATTAAAGTTCATAATGAAAATATGTTATACAATACAGCTTGAAAATTAACTTTTGTTTAAGAAAGAAGTTTTACATTCTTTTGTCGTCGGTTTCGCTCCAGTGGCTTTTTTTAGATTTAGGAAAACTATTTAATGAAAAAAAAAAACGATTATTATAGTTTCTTAATTTCAGAACTTCCCTTCTAGCAATGTTAATAATATTTAATTTGAATCGTTATCGTTCTTTGAAAATATTCCTTGTAAAAGTATGAAATCTTTAGTTATTCGAACATTACGTTTTCTGATTTCTTTTTTCAATTTGTTTATTCTAAAAAATTTGAACTGGGAATTAACTGATTCCATTTATAGCCTCTTAGATCCTCGTTGCAACGATCGATTCGATGAAGTACGCCATCAGTATGCTAGTTTATTATTCAGGTGGAGAATGTTTTCGAAAGCTGCTGAAGTGATGAAATACAGTGAATCTGCGCCTTATTCAGCACCACTACGAGGTAAATTTCTAAATTAGTGCTGAGATATGACAAAGATAAAGCTGAAGCTGGCAACGGAGATTAGTGAGATTTCCAAGTTTTGAATGCTTTAGAAATGAAATTTTCTATATCTTGAAAGCGATAAAATTCAGCTCTCTTCCTTTAAGAAATGCATTTATATTTGCGCAATATAATTGCAAATAAATTAAGAGATGTGACCAATGGAATTCACATCCGATTGCTATAGAATTCAATTCAATTCAACTCCTTGATAGTAACTGTTGGATTTATGACATATTTTATTCTTTTTTTCATAAACAAAATGAAGTGTTATATTTTAGTTCAGAGCTCATGTCCTCACTGTAACAATAAATTGCTGCTTTTCAAATGTCATAAATGTCACATCGGTTGGAAATTTCGTTGCTCATTATGTCAACTTCCTGTGTTAGGTAATTTTCCATGATATGATCTCAAATGACTGGAGGTACGAAAAAATATATATACACATTATATATGTATTATAT